GTAATTAAATTAATCTTTTATGAAACGTATGGTCCAGAAATTATTACGAATTTAAAATTGAAATTTTATAAGGAAAAAAAAAAAGAAAAAATGGTTATATAAAATTCATAGAAAGACTTTGAAACGATAGATTAAACCTGGATCACTAATCATTTTAATTTCTCTATACTATAAAACATAAAGTATGCAATATATATTGTTTTTAAATCTCTATAGATGAAACAAAGTCTCATAACAACAACGATATTACACTGTGCGGTTGAATGTTTTTCCGGAAACTCTTCCTTCAAACTGAAATACCAATTCATCACTGCATTAGTCACATTGACGTAGTTATGAAACTCACTTTCAGGCGACCCATGAGTCGCGACCTAGAGCACGATCGCGTTTGGAAAGTTTGATTGGAAAGACGGCGTGAATGATGAGTATTCTCCCGCCTCTGAAAAAGTTTAATGTAATGCCGGAAAAATGGATCCTCTTTTTTTAGATTTTCCTGCGAAATTACTCTCGCATTTGCAGCTCTGACTTAATCGTCTGGTTCTCGGTCGAACATGGATTCTCATCGACGTGCCATTAAAATGTCTGGCATCGCTGCTCTCCAAATGTGTATGCGTGCATGCATACGGTTAGCGATACAAGATTGACTGCCGTACGGCGTCATATACCTCGTTATACGGTTACCGGTTATATGCTGAAACTTGGCGAAGTTGGCATCTGCCTTCGGCAAGCCCGGGGAAACTGCCGGAAAAGGGAGACGCGAGGACGTTGAGAGCTAGGTAGGTAGGTGGAGGCGTGGCCGCCGGGAAATACGAGAACTGAGAGAGAGAGAGGGGGGGAGGGGGAGGGGGAGGTACAGGAATACAACGCGGCGAAAGTGTGCGCGAACGCAGCGGCGAACTTCCAACACGTAATTACGAACTCGACCGAACAGCCGAGAGATTTAATTAACGAATCGAGTAGCGAATTTTTAATTGCGTTATCAATTCCGCGATTACCTGGTCGCATTCGAGACGTAACATTGAACTCTTTCGTGCGACTGAATTTTTTAAATCGCGAAAGCGGAACTTGGCGGAACTTCAGTTCCGCGCGATTTCTGCGAGACATACAACTGTGTAAAAAAAAAAAAAATAATTTAGCGGAAGAAAGCGAAAAACGCGCGTTAAGATAAATTTCATCCGTTCTAATTCTCTCAAAGTCGAGAGAGGAAACGATTTTCGAAACGATTCGTGGCATAATGTGTATTTCGAAAGAATTCAATTTTATATTCGATTTCATTGTCTAAATTTTTAATCAGGCGATTATCCTGACTCTCGAGATTAATCGGACGGAAAATTTTTACAGCCGGATCTTCCGGATCTTTCGCGAAGTATGTCCGCGCAGTTTCGGTTCGCTTTCTCGTGTCGTCTGCTTCCAGGCGGATCGCGACGAGATCCTAACGGTACATCGGCTCGATCGCGCGGCTCCGGCAGCGGCAGTGGAATGAGACGGGGGATGGCGGCGGTTCAGTGACCGACCGACCGATCGACTCGCCGAAAGGAAGACGAACGCGAGCGTGGATGAAGGAGGGTGTAGTACGTAAATGAGATTTCCCCTTTTTCGAAAATAAATATAAATTTGCGATTATAATCGTGACAATAATAATAATGATTTCAGTTAAGCTATGCGTGTACAGAATATAACGTTAAATTGCAATAACGATTTGCAATCTGAACATTACTTTGAAAAAGAGAAAATTTAAATAAAAATATATCTGCCTCGATTAATCTGCTTATGCAGGTCTCAATTGGATAAAAATTTTTGTACATGTTGTGCTGATAACACTATATATTTGTCATGCAAATTATTGGAAACATTTTCAAGAATCTTCCCTGTCTCTTTCCTCATCTTTCCCCTCCGATATATATCCATGTGGAGCTGTGCATTACATTTTTCCCGATATGTTCCTTGCCTCTCTGAATAAATTGCGCGATTTTCTATCCTATTTTTATACCGACACCTGTTTCCGAGTATTGCGTCTCGCGCTCGAGGGATAAACGAAGCGACACAGCCGACATTCTTTACTTTTCTTTGACGATGCGTAACAATGGCAGCGGAAATATTGGCGACAAGCGAGATCGTCTATGAAAATCATCTTTTCGATGACACGACGCAGGAAAATGTCTCTTGAAAACATGGAAGAAGCCTAAGCAAACGTCCGAAATTATATTGAAATACATTTAAAACTAAATGCACTCTTATTATATTAGTAATATTGCAGAAAATGATATTTTGATACAAAGAAGTCGAAAGTGAATATATGTTATATCAAAATGAATATATAAATGTGTATTAGTATTTAGCATTAATTGAAACCGAAGATGAACAAGCAATTTTAAAAGTATTAAACTAGCTGTCAAAAAGTTTTGCATTATTAAGTTACGTAGAGCTTTAAATCGTCTTATTTTTAGGAAGAAAAATAGATATTTTCCTCGAAAATTATTTTCTCACATTTTCGTGTATTTATCGCTATTTACGATCACACGCCTCGCCTGAGAGAACATCCGCTTTTTATCGGCTTAGCCGATCCATCCTATTGCATGGCTGAGCGAAGTTTTACTGTAGAATACTTTAAAAGTAGCTTTCCACACGTACGAGATTTAGGAATAAATGAAATTCGTCTATATTTAAAGATTAAAGTATACAGTAAATAATCGACTTGAGAAATCCAAATAAAATTCTCCAAAAATGTTGCGAAAAATTCAACGCGCTCGATTATGTTCTCACATCTCATTGACCTGAATGAAGAATCTAAATTTAAGATAACTATGGTCGAAGAATAATCCCGAGTAATAAAAATGAGCATATATTGCCAGCTGCAAATATCAACCGAGTTCTCTCATGAGAAATTTCTCGGCGATGCAACAAAAAAGAAATAGCAATATTCTGTTTAGAATAGCAATATTCTGTTTAGAGACATCTGTTTGTACGTATATCTAGCCATCTAAATACATCACAAGCTAAAATGCTATACAGAATGTCCATAACGAGAGAATTCGATTTTAATTTTAATGAAAGATTCTCTGATCAACTTGCGACTGATTTTCCTTTCGCGTAAATATCATGAAACATTATGTGTCATAAAATTTGAATCAAAATCTTATTAGAGTTCAGTTGATATTAGCTAAAGAATATAAAAAGTTTTTGGCTTGTTAAAATTTATCCTTGATTTTTTTCTACTACTTCAAATTAATATTTCAACATTTGACTAACAATTTGAAAAAGTACAAAAAAATCAGCGATAAATTTAGGGAAGCTTTTTATTTCTTAGTTAATATCAAGGGAATCAGGTCTAATAGGATTTTAATTCAAAATTTATAATGATAAATAATGTCTCATGATATTTCCGCGAAAAGAAAATCAATTGCAAGTTGATCTCTAAATTGGTCAGGAAATTCGTCACCGATATTAAGATCGTGAATTATATATATACGCGACATCCTGTATACGAAGCAACTTCTTCTAAGTGGGTTATTGGAACGAGTAAAGTGCAATACTCTCGGAGGGAGAAAGATAGAAGGAAAGATCGCATGGAAGGATTCGCTGATGTTGAAGGCGTCATATAAGATAACCGTAGTAGTAACCCATTATCTGTCCACCACTATGCGCTCCTATTATTCCGGTTATCTGCTTCCTCATTTTCTTACGTAACGCATATTCTTCGTGAATAAAATTTAATATTTCTATTCTATCTAATCGGTATAGATACCGGTATAGATGCCTGTCCTTGGATAAAGATAGAAAATGTTTCACAATATTTATATTTTAAAATATTCTCATTATTTATAATAATTATTTAAAATTAATAATATTTATTATTATATGTTATATCAGATATAATTATTATTATATATTCTATTATTTATATTATAATCTATCACATATCTATTACATATTAGTTATTAAAATTTAATAAAAAATTTGAACTATTTGAATACGTGATATTTCATTAAGAAAAATTTATTTTGAACTTCGTAATTTTATAACACATGATATTCGTATTTAAAATGCTTAAGAAATTGATTGTTTAAAATCTGCTTTAGACGATCTATAATTTACGACAAAATTCAAAGCAGAATTTTACTTGTAATTTTACATGTATTTCACATATTCCGAATATATATATATATATATATATATATATATATGTGTGTGTGTGTGTGTGTGTGTGTGTGTGTGTGTGTGTGTGTGTGTGTGTGTGTGCTGATGTATTTTGTATGTGTGCCTGTTTTACTTCTTCAAATGTATTTTTTACGACACGCATAGAATTATAAAAAGAATTCTATTTCGTATTCTATCGCAAATTATAGATTGTCCAAAAATATCCCTTCTTATTGAGGAAATAGTATTAACAACTTGTAACTGTAAGATCTGATATTACTCACACATTTTTCCAATTTTTTCAACATCCATTGGTCGCTGAAGTTAATTTATTGATGTTCCATCTATAACAAAATACCAATAACATTTATTCTTATACGATTTCAATAATTGATCACGAATAAGATGTTTTTTCTATATCTCACATATAAAATTGTACAAAAATTCTATCCTGAATTTAGGTGCGAATCGTAGGTCGTTTAAAAAGCGGGATTCTCTTACTGACGAAATACTATCAAATACCCGCAGCATTGAATAAAATCTGACATACTCACGTATTTTCTTGACACGCATATTTGCACCGCATGTGAAATTAGTTTACCAATATTCTATCCGTAAGAAGATACCAATAAATATACGCGAATTCGATAATTGTCGCCGAAATAACTGTCGAATGTCCTCGAAGTATATCTAAACTAACTCCATCTATCGTTGATACTACATTAGATCGAGATGCAGCGACATCTAATAAGATGCAGCAAAAATTTTCATTTACCATCGAGTATTCTACAATATCAATCGTCGATTTTCTCTTTCAACTTCTCCTCGGTCTCCGACGTTATCGATCGAGGGAGAAGCTGATTTGCTCGTTTCGTACGTGATGTTCTCAGCATCGTCGAAAATATTTACATACTACGCCGGGAGTGTGCGTGGCGATGTACGCGTGTCGAATCGAGTACATGCGATAGGATTGTAATTTAATAATATTTCTTTGTCTTCGATAAATATACGGGAGAAATTTGCGTAAGATCAGATTCTCGAAGCGACGTGAGATCTGTCGTGGAATAAAAGCTGGACTACGCGCGCCCTGTCGCTCGTCATCGTCTTCAATGTGGTGAACACTCGCTTTCCGGTGACAGAAACGTACGAATTCGCCGGAGCGAGTAAGCGCGAGGAGCGGGCGAGTCGGTCCTCAGGAGCATAAATGGCACTGCTATTCACCAGCATGTGGGACTCGACGATGTTCCTGAGTACCCTAACCCCAAAGTTCTACGTCGCGCTCACCGGCACCTCGTCCCTCATCTCCGGTCTGATCCTCATCTTCGAATGGTGGTACTTCAGGAAATACGGCACCTCGTTTATCGAGCAGGTATCCTTGAACCATATCTCACCGTGGATCGGTGGTGGTGACAGCTCTAATGACAGCAATACCTCCAGCCTAAACGGCTCCGGTGGATCCTCAAATCAGCAGAATGTGCCAGAGTGTAAAGTCTGGCGCAATCCGATTAATTTATTCAGGGGTGCGGAGTATCAGAGATTTTACTGGGCCACCAACAAGGAGCCCCTCACGTACTACGATATGAATCTGTCTGCTCAGGATCATCAGACTTTTTTCACTTGCGAGGGTGATACAGGTAAAATCCTGGATTCGCTTTTATTCAATATGTATTTTCAGCATGTGAATACTATGCAAAGTATTTAAATATTTGTATCAAGTTGTAATAAAATGGAAATGTCTTGTCGATTAGCAAGATAAATCTTTTTTTTCTCTTTGTCAAGATATCAAATTTAGCTAATTAATTTTTCTCTTACAGGTAAAACAGAATATGAAATCATGCAGACAGCTTGGAGAGAGCGCAATCCAGTAGTAAGAATACAAGCTGCGCATAGTGCTCTCGACCGTAATCCTGATTGTGCGCCAGCTTACATTCTTCTCGCAGAGGAGGAGGCCACTACTATTGTAGAGGCAGAAAAGATCCTGAAGCAAGCTCTAAAAGTGGCTGAAAACAATTATAGAAAGTCGCAGAATACCCAGCATCAGGGCTCCATAGCTGAAGCGATACACAGGCGTGATACAAATGTGTTGATCTACATCAAAAGGAGATTAGCGATGTGCGCGCGAAAGTTAGGAAAGTTGAAGGAAGCTGTGAAAATGTTTCGCGATCTTACGAAGGAGGTGCCACCAATCATGAATGTATTAAACATCCATGAGAATTTGATCGAGACTCTATTGGAGATGCAAGCCTATGCGGATGTGCAGGCCGTATTGGCCAAGTACGACGACATCAGTCTGCCGAAATCGGCGACCATTTGCTATACAGCTGCATTGCTGAAAGCACGGTTGGTAGCGGATAAGTTTTCGCCTGATATCGCCAGCAAGCGCGGCTTGACCACCGCCGAGATGTCGGCGGTGGAGGCGATTCATCGGGCCGTGGAATTCAATCCTCATGTACCCAAGTATCTCCTGGAAATGAAACCGCTCATTCTTCCGCCCGAACACGTGCTGAAGCGTGGCGATTCCGAGGCGATTGCATATGCGTTCTTCCATTTAGCGCACTGGAAGCAGATAGAAGGCGCTTTGAATCTGCTTCATTGCACATGGGAGGGTACGTTTAGAATGTTGCCGTATCCGCTCGAACGCGGACATCTGTTCTATCCGTATCCCACGTGTACTGAATGTGCCGACCGGGAACTCTTGCCGTCGTTTCACGATGTTAGCGTCTACCCGAAGAAGGAACTTCCCTTCTTCATCCTCTTCACCGCCGGTCTGTGCTCGTTCACCGCACTATTGGCCCTGTTGACACATCAGTATCCGGACACTATGGGCGTAGTTGCCCGCTCCATGCTCGCTTGGTTTTCCCATCCATTTTACTACATTCTCGACAAGCTGGAAACTATATTGCCCTCTAACTTATTGCAACAGCTCTCTAGAATATAATAAGGCTGTGTTTCCACATGATCTCCATTAAATTAAGACTTATTGTGATATTCGCGATATACTTATTGCTTCATTTCTTCTATCTCTTCGTAGTCGCTCCCATCAGGTACGTATATAAATGTGTACGCTCCTATTTGCAATTTTCTCATGACTGATATTATAATAATATCTTGTAGAGCGACGATTGTTTATCTAGTACCGTAAGTTTATCGAATCTACGAAACGCTAGAATGTAAAAGTAATAGACATTTTTTTTTTCTCGGTACTTACTTCTCGATAGTTTATCGAGCAATCGCTAACATTATACGAATATTGATAACGTGACGATACAAATTTATGTGAAATGACAACTGGGTGCTAAATAAACTCTCTTTGTTTTATCGCATTCGTATTTATTCAATAATTGATATTCTTAATAACTCGTAATGAGGTGAAAGATCAAGGCAAATCAGAGATCTTGACGTTTCACGTGTCAACAGAACAGAAAATTCGAATGTATTCAGTTGACTGGGAATAAGAGGAATTGACTTTTCCGTGTATATTCCTCCGTAATCATTCTTATATAATAACAATGAGAACGTTAAAATCTCTCACATTAAATCACATGTATAATATTATACAATTTTTATGCGAATCCGTTGAAACCAAAAATAGGAGACAATCGATACGTCGAAGAAAGTCGACGGATTAAATTCACATTCTCTCGATATTTCTACAACCATATCTGATTTCTGGTCTGCCTATCTGTCATGTGAAACGGTTATGATAGAAGAAGAAAAGATAGAGAGAGATATATAAGACACTTGGAAGTCAGAGAGCCCAGGTCTCTCCAGTACGCCGGGCTCCAGCAACTTTGATTTTGCTTCGAACATTCATCCTTGATTAAATTCTTAAACAATATAGCATAATAAGGTGATAAAATTTGTCATTTTATGTACAATATCTCTTTAGAGCTTATATATCTATATAATTTACTTTTTTTTTTAAACGGACATACGTAAAACGTTATGCGAAGAATTACGATTAAATAATATTATCCTCCGTACATACAGCTACGACACTCTTCGCATCCACGGCTATGGAGGGAGAGCGGGGAGGAAATAAATGTTTTACATAATATAAGAACATGTAAAAACTTTCAAATGTGACCCTTAAGATTTGCTAGTATATAATGCTTAGTCCTTAATTCTTTATCGCGTGTACAATTAGATGTATTTACCGAAGAATACTAGTCTACTAGAAGTAGGAAATATTTTGAGTATTCACCTCCCGCTAATATCCAAGCCTATATTTTGTACGTAGCTCTTTCGCGTACTCGCCAGAATTCTGATAAAATCTTGGTAAGTGGAAATTTATTCCGATCCTTCGTACTGGAAGTAGATTCTACTTTTTTATTATCGCGAATTGTCTATGAAAGTCCACGCAATGTTCCTCTGCTTTCTTTTTTTTTTCTTTTCTCTCTTATATATACAAATTACAAATTGTCCGTTTCTCGATCGATCAACTTCACGCTAAGATTGCCACGCCACTTCACTGTATCTAGATTTGATCGTCTTCACTATTTCTTTACAGTGTAGAACCTACACAAATAAGGCACCTTTAACAAATTACGCTCTTTATAAGTTACACTCGATTTAACAGTCCAACGCGTTCAGTCAACGACACCACGTCTGCACTGTGATTGCTAATTCGTAATTTGACAATCGAGGCATACGTAAACAACAGCAGTCTTAATGTATCGAACAAAAAAACATTACATATATATATGTATACATACATATATACATATATATACATGAATATGTACATGTATATATGTATACATATAATATGTATATACATGTATATATAGTGGATATATGTAATCAGTTGGGGGTACCAAAATTCTCACAGAGATTATTCCTTCTTTCATTTTATCTAATTTAAACGACGATAAATATTTTTAACTTTCAACAAAGCGCTCACATCGCTTGCTAAACCAATTCTAGTTCTCTTAAAATATTAATATATATTAATTAATTAATATTAATATTAATATTAATATATATTAATATATATAAATTAATTAATATTAATATATATTCCATTATTTTAATCGAGGCTTTTTTAATCGAATTTTTATCGAATGCCGAATTGCTTTGAAATTTGCTAAAAATATTTTATATCGTTCCTACCCCTCCACGAAAGTAAGGAATAATGATAAAACTCGAAGAATAGTGATTTATTCAATTTTCCTATATGTCTAGCCTCATTGAGACTATCTATATATTTAAGAGGAAAGCAATTTTTCCACTCTAAGCGTCATTTGTGCTTGTGGAATGCTAGAAAACAGCGCTGTGCTCAATCGAAATCGGCTCACATGCCTAAAAAGAATATCTTGTCTTTTTCTGCGTTATCGTGCAACTCTCTGTTGTATTCACCGAAATTATTCTTTATTTACACATTGAAATTCTGGTAAAAGCTGTCTTTCACAGTATAACATAATTTTTAAGCAAATGCTTTTATCAAATAACTGCGGAAATAACGCGCATGAAAACAAACAGCAATGTATAATTAATTTCTCTTTAGCTGTTATCACGCGTTATTATAATACAAAACAAATTTTCCGATGCGGCAGACTGACTTAGGAGTATACTTATTAGTCGCTTCGCTTATTGACGATTGATCGACCTCGCAATTAAGTGTAAAAAATGATGTGGGAGAAGTACCACAACACGTTGATGTCAAGATTAATGTCTTTTTTCAATCTTACGGAAAGATAGTTTCAGTCAAAACGCGATAGACAGAGGATAATTAATCTTGATATTAAAGAGTGCCGTTTGCGAAATATTGATATCGATCATAGAGTTTAGTGGACCACGAATGAATACTGCCTTCGACCAGATCCTCGACATGCCGACGCAATTGATCTTCTGTTAACGTGAGGTGGAATCTATTCTTGAGACCTTGAACAGTCGCCGCCCCACCACTCCGAAAGCACGGAAGTTGAGAACCTGCGGAAAAAATCGATAAAACCCATTGAGATGTGCAGATTTGAAGGTGCACGCGAACGCAAACATACGTACGTTCTTCAGTACTACTTACCCGATAACATGATCTCAACAAGGTTGACTATTTTCTCCATGTGCTTCCGTGCTGCGATTAAACCTTGAAGAATGAGACTTTTAAATTCTTCAAAGAACTTGGATTGATTGCCGCCCATCACTTCAACGAATTCCGGTGTTAATTTGAACGGACTGGTCTCGAAGCCGAGATTTCTTGGCGAAGTCGAAAGAATGAATCCGAAATCTATGTGGATCAGATGACCGTCGCTGTGCAGTAGAATGTTGCCGTTGTGACGGTCTTTCACTTGAATAAGATAGCTGACCAGGCAGTACGCGGCGCAACTTTGAATGAAGTTTTTCTGCGCCATGCGGAACGTCTCTGAGGTAGAAGAGCCGAACTCTCGTTCAAAGTATTGAAAAAGCGTTAATTGGCACTGCTTCTTGACTTGATGAAGCGAGACGGTATTCAGGATCGGTTCAATCAGACCACTATCATTAGATAAACATAGTATTCTGCAAGACAAAAAAAAATCATTGTTCAAGAAAAATATTTTGCATCAAAACTTTTCAATGAAAATTTTTTAGTAATGTCATCGAACTTACTTGTATGGTCGCACCCAGAGAGGTACTTGTTCGTCTTGCCAAATCTTTTGCAACATCGAAAGCAATTGCGAAGCGAGAAGTTCTTGCCTAAGATCATCGCCACATTTCACAATGACGGCGAGTAATCTCCAAGATGCCAAGTGCCCATACGGACTGGAAGTTCTTATGCGTCGTTGTTTTTGCTCCCACGGCTCCTTAAGAACCGCTGCCGAGGGGTCCTCGGGATCGTGACTAAATGTCGCACTGGGCGTAGCTGCCATCTCGCTCAATCTTCTCTTGATGTCGCCCGGTACAAAAATCGGTTCTCTGCTGTCGGACGATTCTTGACTCAATTGTGAGATAGTATCTCGATCTTTCGGCTTACGAAGCTGTAAGTACTGAGCAGAAGCGAATGGGAAAAAGGTTAGAATAGAAAGCAGAAGTTAGAAAAACTATATATGATTATTTCGAATATGCACTCACTTGCTGCGTAATCTCATCGTCCTCCTGACTCCAACAATCGTTAGGATCATCGTCGGGGAAATTAAATGTTACGTCTGTATTCCTAACGGAGTAAGGCGAAATATTTTTTACAGGTGTCTGTCGCACCGCTAAATTTTGTTGACTATCGGAAGTAGATATGTTGGATTGTTCGCCGCCGGTTAAGTTCTCTTCAGACTTGGTATGCCTCAATGAACTACCCATTATTTTCGTCGGCACGGGTGACGTATATAAATCTTCCACTTCTAATACCTCCACATATATTATATAGGGTGCCTGTGTAATAATTATTATCAAAGTCAACATTCGAATGATGAATTCTGTAACAAATAATTTGCAGCAAAATATTTGCGCGTACCTTGTCTTTGCTGTTAAGAACAGCAGCATACTGTGGCGGAACTCGCACGATATGATGCGGTATCATACTATGCAGAGGTAACCACACCCTTGCAGGGAGATTCAAATTAAGCGTGTTGAGCTCTGCTACTAATTGAACGGTTTTACTTTCCTTTGTTGGGATAGTTCCGAGCAATTTACCAATTGATATTAACGCTTGTATAAATTCAAATTCTGGCGCGAGTCGAGGTGCCTGTATAAGGAATATAAATTTTATGCATCGCTTCAAATACAACATCTATTTTCTTGCACAACAGAACTCACGTTGCAGAAACAATCTGTCTTTTGGCCTCGCAAATCGTTCACCACACCTTGGCAGGAATAAAAGCAGGTACAACCATTGTCAAACGCTCGACCCGAGCTCAGGTCCCCAAGACTTACTTTATTTATTATACCTTTCAAGGGAAATAGAGAATACACGAAGATTAAATAAACCTCTTTAAAAATGATCTCACATTCCGAACATTATATAATATGTAATTTATTATATTCACATGCACATATATTTATTTGGATAATTACCGGAATGACTACGGCGGATAGTCTGGAACAATCCAGTAGCGTCGGACTGAGATCTTTGGTGGGTTTTTTTATTCGGCGACGTAAGGTTTTGCGCCGAGGGCAATGGTGATGGTGCAGGAACTTGCAATCCAGCTATGCGCTGCTTTCGACTCTCATTTCCCTTTGGCCTGAAATGTTACACGCTTAAAAATTAATTTGTTTCAAGTGTACACATACACGTATGATCTCCCGAAACTCGCGCGTAATCTCCTTATTATTATCTAAATCTTTATTGATCTTACCTGAGTTCATCTGACAAGATAAGATTTTTCAATTTGGTCCCATGAGACTTCTTTTTTGATGGTAAATGAGCATCGGAACTATACGCATCTAGCAGCCAAGCACATTTTAAAGAGAAATCTGCCGATTGTCTACATCTGCAAAATTGATTCGTTTAATTTTAGTTCATTTTAATTTTATCGCGATTCATAACATGCGCAATCAAATAATCTTCTAATTTGTTGACAGTATCTCCTATATTTACCTATGGACAAGATATGGATAAAGGACTTCTGTTATATCGTGAAGTTGTATATACATCACAACTAACTGCGGTAAGTAAAAGTCCACATCATTATCCGGGAAACTGAACATCTTGTTACCTAGAACACATCATAAATATTAGTCATATTTATTGTCAAACATATAAGATATATTTGTTAGAACATTTTTAATTTTTTAATCATTAATATTATTATCTCGACATAGAAGTTTATGTAAAATGAAAATAGTAAATGCTATTTTCATTATTGTTTATCTTACAATAATTATTGCTTTATGAATGACAAGTGAGATAAAATTAACAAACATGCAACACAAATTAATTCTCTTTATTATTTATTATACCTAGATAACTCTGAACGCCGGGTTCTTTCGAATTGAACAGATAAGAAATAGCCATGGACATGTCGAATATTTGACTCTCGAAGAGTCGCAGTAGACAACCTTCTGATGGTTTCGGTTGTTTTGTTTCTTGTTGCTGTCGACGGATAACATCTGGTTGCTTTTTCACTGTCTCAGCTTCCTGTTGCTGTGTCGCAGTCGTACCGCAGCAAAGAGTCATGGCCGCTCCGGCCAATTCATTTTGGCTTGTGTCAGCCACAGTTGGCGGTGATGACGCCACTTGCGTTATAACGCTTTGATAGATTTCGACGCATTCCTGACGCTGATAATCGTCACTATTGTGTTCTCGCACATTCGCGTTAGTTATTCGCGGTTCTTGCGAGCAAGGTTCACCAACAACGTTCGTGTCGTTGTACGATCGCGGACAATTACGATCGTTGGTTTCGTCATTGGGAGATACAGGAGACATAGGATTATCACTAAGACGCGTCGACAGTTCCACGGGCGACACTGGTACCGACATTGACATCGACACCGACACTACACCGGCACCGTTTTCAATACCGTCTACCACATCGATCGAATACACCGAGTCTCCTGGCTGTGACACAGACGAGTCGAGGCTCTCACGGCTGTGCAAATGATCCACGCTGGATTCTCGGGTCGCGGGCGCATTCGTGGCGTCGCTCGAACCGCTGTCGGAGCCACACAAGATACCGGAGTCGTCAGAACCGAGACTGGCCAAGTCCTCGCGTTCCCGCGCGGTGCGAGTGCCTTTTCCACATGGTCCTGACGATGACGATGATGACGATGACGACGACGATGATACGGTTGTCGTCTTAGAGACTGATGAAGGGGCGGGATTCTCGCATTCCGGGCTCGGTGTCACGTCCACCTCTGGAATCCGTTGCAAAGCGGAATCCAGGCTTCGGTTCCTGTGATGGTGCGTCAACGTCGTTGCGGCTGCCTGAGGCACCGGTGGTAGTAAGATACCCATTGATCTAGAAATAATAATCAATGGCTTTAGTTAATAAGTATTCACTCGATTAATTTTTTTAATTAAAAATTGTACAGGCTATTTTTTTAGAGTTGCACGTGTTCTTGATTCTTTAATGTATGAAAAAGAAATATGAAACGTTATTTTAACTTTTTAATTACAAAAATATGCTCTTTAGATTATAATTTTTATAATTTGCTTGTATATTTACTTTTGATCTGCTATCTCTATAATCTAGTATTCTATCTTTTTTAGTATGTGTTTAAAAAATATGTGTTTATTTAATATTACACTCATACAATTGTATCTTTATCATGCACTGTTTAATGTTATCGTTATGTCTTTTTATCTCGATACATTTTATATTTTTCTCTTGTATACTTTGAAAAATTTTATCTCAAGATATACAAAATGAAGCTACTCGTCTACCTGTGTTATTGGGACATATAACTTTTTTAACATTTAAATTATTTTCTTTAATTTGTGTCTATTTCCTGTTAGTCTTTTGTGAATCAAATTATGTGACGTATATATTTTGATCGAAGGAGATTGTATGCGTGCAATTGGCGGCTGCGAAAGCATAAAGAGAATAGTAGATCGAATAGACCGGTTGCGATTATTAATATTGATGACATCTCCATCGCTATTGTTGTCAACGAAGAGCCAATTTAAATACTTCCACGTATTCCTCAATTTATATACGACACAACTTCACATATTTCCTCGCCGATCTAACCGTCGAAGACGAGTGGCGTCGATCGCATAATCGCGGCATACATAACACGACTTTACGATCGCTTATTCAACAAGTGCCAGGACGTGTAGACGCGCGCGCCAGACGCGTCACGGCTCGCAAATAGCTCGCGCGCATGGCTCGCAAAGTGGCTCGGAAATATTCGGGAAATGGTCTTTCGAGACAGATTCGAGTTTGCGCGCGATGACAGGTATGACAGGTATAACGAAATCAAAATATATATATATACCTGAAGTCCAAACTGTGGTTTCGTTGATGCGTGGTCAATCTGCTACGTGGACTGATCGACGGATTCGGCCGACCGTGCACGAGAGGAACATTACAGCTGGCCAGCTTGTGCCGCTTGATGTGTGTCACGCTTTCCTGGCGCGTAGGTCCACCAGTTGGCGTCACTGCCACTACTTCGCTCATATTAGAGTCGAGTACGAGCACCGGCTCGGCTAACAGTCATCTGCTGGCCATGCTGTGGCTTCACCTGTAAAACGTAAACCCCTAAATCAGCGTCGTCTCTCGTTTCTTGCGGAAGAATGCACGTAACTCGAATGCGAAAGCGGAAAGAGAACGCACGTTCGACGCGTACGTCATGTTTTTACTTTTTGAGTTCACAAAAAGGAACTTATTACGTGTATATTTACATATTTACCGCATCGTACGATGGTATATATATAGCAGAGAATAATGGATTGTTGTATTTGTTGTGATTTTTAAAATAATTATATCGCGATAAAGAGAAAAAAAGTGGTCTTATTATATGCATATGTATATATGATTGATTATAAGTGACACACACCACGGTATGTATCGTAGGCGGTAATTTAATAATTAAATAGATAATGAAACAAACTGTTGTGTAGATTCTTCGGTCATGATTTTTAAAGTGACATCGTGATAATATCATGATAAATTGATCGATTGCATAGAAACGGATATATCATATCAAAAAGGACAGATCCTAATCAATAATAGACGTGGCCTCGAATATCATATGCGAAGGAAAGTCAACAGTTCGTGCGATACATTTACGGAGTTAGTTGCACGAAAAGCAACGCGAGCACATCGAGAAACGAGACACATTTCCGGTATTCTCATTATTTTTGGGAGCGTAGGCTGATAATGGCGAGTGATATCATTTTCCGCATGCGATCTCCACTATATCGCGACACGAATAAAACTACGTACTCGATGTAACGTCAACGATAACTATTGACACGAGAAGAACACGCGTCCGCCGTCGTTATCAAGCCGCGATATGTCAAATGCGATAACGGAATCAGTGTCTCGCATCGGAGAGAGAAATGTGCCGTATCTTTATTAATATACACAACAAACGACACACGCTCTCTTCCCGATTCACGCGCGCAGCGCTGAGAAATTAATTGGTTATATAATGCGATGCAGCGCGCGGAAAGAAGACGGGGAGGACTTCTCGACTGTTTACGCTGCGAAACCGAGCGACCGGAAATCGTGCGTCTGTCAGGAAGGTCGATCGTGCCCCAGATAATGTGCGATTGAAATTTCTTTTCGAGCAATAAATAACCGAACGTAATTTATCGTGCAATTTTCTCGCTGCAGAACTCTTTCCTGTCATCGAAAAAAAAAACTTCAAGTTAATTAAAGATTTTATTTTTTTCAGATTATCTTAAACACATGACATATCTCGATACTTTCTTATTGAGTAATTTTGTCAAAGTTAACTGACATTGTAGTGAAATATTTTAATCGTGAAAATACATGCACACGCATATTTCAGATAATACAATCGGAAGAAATGTTAAAGTTGACAAGAGGTCGTCGGATTCGTTGAATGTCCACGTTGACGGTAACGAATGGAAAAAGTTACGATGCCGCAATACATATAGACATTTAGAAAGTGCGGCTTTTTATCAATTCGAACACTTTCTAGGATCTCTTCCTGACGCAGTTGAAGCCGGCTCCATTCTACGCAGTTATCCCGCGGATAAAACGGAAGTAGAAAAAAAAGAAAAATCCTATACTTTTGAGTTACGTGAAAATTACGTGGAAAACAAATGCTTTTTCCACGAGGAAAAAACTGCTTCATTCAATTTTAATCTTCTACGTGAACGTGAGCTTTTATGCATCCTATGCAACCACAAATTATATTTACTTACTTCGAGACGTTACATCAAAAGCTTCGCTCTCAGTGCTTTTCCTCAATTATTAATTTCAATAATTAATTTAATTTTTTCAGAAAAAATTGCATATATGTAAAATTTGCAAAAACGTTTGGATTCGATGATAAATTTTATAGTCCGTATATTTGGAATAAAAAAAATATTAAACTGTCATTTCTGGATAATCGTTATAATTATACAAACATATCGTATGAAATCAGTCAATGCTAATTACTTTATCAGGGATTTGACCGCTAAATTCTCGTCGAGATTAAATAATTCTTTTCTTTTTTCACGCGTTGAAATAATGAATACGAAATACCTTCCACGTGACACACAATAAAACGTACTATTTTAAAGATTGCGGCGCGAGTGTTACGGTGCGGAACCGAGGTTTCTATCTCGACACACGGATCGGTTGCGCGTTGCAAAATTCCGCCGACTCGAAACTCACGACGCGCGTGGAACCATATGCTTTCACCGATCTGCTTCGGTGCCGGCGCGTACTCGATGTTACGAGCGTATTCCCGGTTCCAAAATTGCAATTTTTACCCCAATACAGTTCATCGATACTCATCTCTCCTGCATTTTTTTCATTTGTAGATTAAACAAGACAATATACTTTCGTAGTCACGCTAAAAGTGTCAAGCATTATCAAGAGTCACAGCGTGAAATAAAAAATAATAATTTGTAAAGAGAAATTATATATCTCCCAATATGCACATATATATTTCCCAGTATTCCGTCCTTTCCATAGTTGAATCGACCCGTATCCCGTTCACAATCGAACATCGACACACGTCGAATATAAAAACAAATCCGTCTAATTCGCAATATTCGCAACTTTCACGATTTGCAATCATTAAGTACATGACATACATCATGTTGATTTATATTTATAATTACTCATGAGATAATATCAAAGGAGAAATTTGTGGCGTGATCGAACAATCAAGTTCTTTGATCACGACACAGTATCTATCGAGATGGTTCGATATTAACATTTTTTATAGATGATTAGTACCATACTAATAATATCTAGATATAAGAGAGTATCGATATGCTTCTTTTTTTATTTAATGACTAATTCCCGTCTAGTATAAACACCGAGGCGGACGTGAATGCGGGCCGTTATACGTAAATTCCGTCGATGATCTAATAATCAATGTTGGTGATCGAACTCGACCGGGCCTCGATGGACTTTTTGAACGTGATTACGCGCGCGTCTTCACTCGCGTGGGCGTGAAACTCGCGCTAGAAAGCCGAACGCGCATCATGGTGAATAAAGTCGAGCGTAGAATTTCCCTTTGCGAAGCTTTTCGCGACGTTCAAAGAACGAATGCGAAAGAGAACATTTATATAGTATCGCATGGTCAAATAGTGGTCCATATAAAATAAACTGCAAACGCAAAATGTCAAATAAATGTTGAATAAATTAAAATGTTTAGATGCATAAATTGAAACGATGGCTGGAAAAAAGACTCGATTATAATATCTCGAAACTGAAATTTTGAAACTCTCTTCGCTTTTAAGATCGCTTTACATTGAATTAACAGGAATTATAAGATGCAAAGTGATTTAGCTTCCATTTAACTTTCCAATTTTCGATATTCTTTGACAAATAAAAAATATATCGCGGAAATTAAGTCGATTAAGCGTCTACATGGCACACTGGACTGTGGATTTAATTCTTTTAGTTCAATGTAAATTCTTTTAAATTACATTTCGGTCTCTGGCTGGATGACATTTTCGGCTTCCGCGAAATTTGAACGTCGACATCGCAAGACCTTGCGAAAGTTTTCTGCGTATGTCAAATCTTCAATGTGTATCGAGCCGGTTAGCGCGAATTTCTCGCGTTTTACATGTAATAAACATCAAAGAGAAAGAGAGAGATAGTATCCGAGGTTTCGGATAACTACAAATTAATCGTGCCATTTGACATTCTACATTCATCATGCACGTGACACTATTCAAAACATACCACTGTAAAGACTTGTATTTATCAAGTAATCATTTAATTGTAAACATAATTATCAGAAATAACGAATCGCAGAGACGGCTAATTATACTTGGGTTATCAGTTATAATAGAGCCTGGGGAATGATATGATCTCCATAAATTCTGAGTTCTTTTCGACGCTACAGCAACCAGAAAAGCATATCAATCGTCGCGATTATGAAATAAATGACATGAGCGTGCCTCTACAATATATAAACCCCATAATTCTTTATAAGGTAAGTGGCTATAACTTCGTCAGCGGAATTTCGTCAAGCCTTCTTAAAATTAAATAAATCAAGCAATCTCGCGTATATCGACTGACTAATTTCCCGATTTGAAACGATGTTGAAATCGTCGATATACGCGAGATTGCTTAATTGATTCAATTCGACAAGTCGAGAAGACTTGACGAAATTATATCCGCTGACGAAGATATAGCCATTTACCTTAATATCCTTAAAATTTAACAACCATTACCGACATAAACAGACAGTCGGAAAGCAATCTGGTGCGTCTACATGGTGAAAATCCGAGTGGTAATCATCGCGTGCTCTTTCCTCGCTACGCAGAATCCGCGACGGCGACGGCGGTGGCGGCGGCGATCTTTCGCGATTTCGATCTATGTATGCTGCACCGCCTCCTCGTCTCGCCGCGCCGCGCGAGCGTCTCCTGGCACCGCCGCCACCGCGTCGACACGCCGCTCCGCGCCGCACACGATGCGTTCGCTCGCACGCTCGTACTCTCGCTCGCTCACGCAGCGAGATGGGTGTGCCGTGCGCGCGAGAGCGAGCTTCCTACGTGTCGTCGAGAGCGTGTTGACACAATGCTGGAAAATCCCTCTACGCGCATATATACGTTCGCACATTCCTTCTCGCCGTCCTTCGACGGAAGGATCAATCCGCCGCGACGCGAAACGTCAACAACGTCAACGGCACTCACCTCGCGCTCGAATCCGAGATCTCGAGACCACGAGTCGTGTACGGTGCTACGATGACATGCCTCGCGACGTTGGATTCTCGTTGTTCGATCTTCCGGTCGTTTTAGGCGCGTCGGGTTTTCGGGCACGGAAGTGTCGCGCGGCCGGGGACGAAGAGCGCGAGACGCTGGAGAGAGACGGGAGAGGAGCGATGCGTATATACGTGCTCGCCTCGCGTCTCTATTCTCTCACGCGAGTGCAGGCGCACCTAGAGCACGGGTGAGAGCACTCGTTCCCTCGCAATGGCAGCGTTCCCACAGGCTTTTGTCACACGCACGCTCCTGTCGGTTTTCGCTGCCGCCGGCTACGCCCAACAACGCGCGTCGATCGCGGCTCCGTCGTCGCGGACGTGATGCGCACGATGCATCGTCAGGCGACGAGCTGACGGGCGAGACGATGACGACAGCGAGGACGACACGTTGCACCACCGTTTCGCCGACACTCGACGTTACGCGGCCGGGCTTGACGCGGGGCGAGCGCGTCTACCGCTCCGATGTATCACCGATGCTTACTCGAGGCGACGGCTACGACAACGACTGCTCGCCAGGCCCGACGTTGTTGCTCGTCGCACGACACATTCAACACTAACTCGGTGACGCACTGCTGCCAACTTATCAACGCGGCGGACGCGACTCGGGGATATCTAGGAGCGCGCCTGCGCCGTTGCAGGAACGTACGAGCGGATCGGCGGGCCACGTGCGCGCGATCTGACAGCGGGCAAATTTTTTTTTTATCGCACCGAAAGCGATCGACGCATTTATCTTTTCCCGTCGACTCGTTTCATTGGAGATGCGCCTCGATTCGAATTGAACTTTGCGCTCGAAGTGTAAAAATAAAAGAATTTAGATATCGTTACAAAGCATAATTTAATCAACTTTTGAGAAAATAAATTTCGTATGCGACTGTTTTTCGATATGCTTTAAAATTAAATTTTAAAAACGAGATATTATATATATATATATATATATATATATATATATATAATGCGTGAAGATTTTAGAATTAGTTTGTAATTCACGTGAAGTCCAAATGATTCATAAGCTTGCGTCTTTAAATAATTCGCTGATAAAACGATATATATATATTCTCATTTTGATTAGCATGAGACACTTGATTCGATTTGACTATGTATATGCGTGTAACACTACATCACTTGCGCGTCATTAGACAAACACGTGGTAGCAAAAATAATTTTCCATTTAAATGGAAATTAATACAAGAGTCCGGATATATAATTCTTTGTTCGAAAAATTCAAATAATTTATATATCACTTGCTTATGCACTTGCTTATGCATTCGATTTACACCCGGATGCCACAAAAAATGATTGAGAAAAAGATGCACACGTAACAATTCTATTGACAGTTTAAATCACTCTTAAATAGCAATAATGGACGATTTTATCGCCTTCTCGCTATACAAGGGACGGACATAATTCTCCAGCGACGGCTATTATATTATAGCGTTAGCAATATTCATTGGCGTATTGACAGCGTTTCATCTCATTGTCACTTTACTTTTGTTCGACGTAGAGGCATTGACAGTCCTGAGATGCGAGCCGACGCGCTATCAACCGAACGGGATGGCAGCATCGAGATAAGAAAATCGTTGACAATCATATATCTTACAGGATAGTATTGGCTTAATTAACGCTCATTTTTATCAGAAAAATATGACATCGCAAAGTTATAAAACGTGAAGGAAAAAACGATGATCTCTACGACATAATAATAACAATAACAACAAAATCTACGATATAATAATAATAATAACAATAACAATGCAATATATAATATAATGAAATATTATATAACAGGTAATAATAATAATACTAATAATAATAATAGTAATACAATAATGAAAACAATAATTATAATATAATTCAAAGTATACAAAAATTGGCCTTATCGGCCTCTCGTAAATCTTGAATTTAATCATTTATATCGCTTTCAGAGATAAACGCATGATACGAAATTTACTTCTTTATCTTTTTTTATGTTAACAATTTCGAGTGAAAAGTTTTCGTGGAATTTGCCGCGCGATTCTTTCTTCTCTCTCATTTCAGATTTGTTCTAGATTGTGGGCGACGATCTGCAGTGCCGCACCTGAATAACAAACGGCCCCGGCAGCGTCGGGGCGTTAGTATCGCGCGCTTAGGTTGGCAACAGTCCGAACGGACGGGGACGTTTACTCGAGCGTGGGAGGGGGGAGGGGGAGGAGGAAAGGTCGTGCAGCCGCGAGTGCAGCTGTACCTGGCGACGCGCAACTTAACGTAGAACGGCCGGATAAGCCAGGCAGTTTGGGAGCATTGGGTGCTCCAAATGCAGCCATGCGTTGTGTTATCTGTATGCTGCTTTCCTTTCAAACAGCACGGCCTTTTGCTTTCTTCGTGGGCTCTCTTGCCTTGCTCGATTCGTATCTCGTATGCATTCGCGCGTATGCAACCAGGGCAGACAATGAAACTTTCTGCATTCTGCTAGTTCTCATGTGTGAGAACACACAGACACACATGCATATTCGCGAGTCGTGCTGCAGATATTATTAAAATTGTTACAGATAATAAAGAACATATTTTTCTTTCCTTATTAGATTACGATAATCGTAGTATTGTCATTTGCACTTTGTGTTTACCGTAAAAGTGGACTTTAAATTCACGCTGCGTCATCCAGCTGTGACATTTGGCGAGCTATGACGCGATGCGTCGTCGCCGGATTATGACGTTCGTGTTTGAAACAGTCATGCATACCTCAGCGTTCACCGTAAACACTATCGCGCGTGATATCACTGCTGCACACAAAATTAATGGCTTTTTGATAATGAAGAAATCGTGGAACAGCTCGCGCTGACTCATTTATGTTAATGCTACTTGCGTTAAAAAATTTATACATATATATATATATATGTAAAACAATTTATACATATATATATATATATATGTAAAAAATTTATACACACATATATATATATATAGGGAAAAAAAACGCAATATCATCGTTTTTAAGCTCTTATCGTTTCATAATTATCATGTTGATATATATATATATATATATATATATATATATTAAATATATATGCATAATGCTAGAGATAGATCTTTATTCGCTAAAAAATAATTCTTAAGAATCTCTATGTCTTATTTTTCTTGTTTGAATTTACAATTAATTTATGCAAATTAGTATGTTGCGTTTACACACATTTATTTGATCGTTTGCATTATAGATCGTATAATAATTTTCAATTTTATTCCATCTTGTAAGGTTTAGTCTTTATCATCTATTAAAATTGAAAGAAAATGAAAAACATATTATTAATTAATATCGCATCGCTTATCCATTGCTGTTAGTCACACATTAGCTATCCTGTTATCTATTTAACTTTTCTAAACAGTCATAACTGTTTGTAAGCGTATTTATATATCTGTGATTATATAACTATTGATACGATCCTTTACATAATACAAATCATTAAATTAATAATCTCTTAATTATTTAATATTTGTTTCTCTCAAAAATGTTATACATTGATACTATTTAGATCGCTAGGATGAAAATCATATATTAAAGTTTGTAATCATATGATAATAATGGATTAATAATTTTCTTTGATTTTTTAAAAAGTTTGTCCTAAAAGCAAATGTCTTTCAAGTAACAAGGTAAATTCTTATTGCTACTATCACTATTCTTATTGTTATCTTTATTACATCGTCTAAAATTATAATAAGCTTGCAACATCACGTATGCATTATTGGAACAGCACGTATCTCTTAACGAAAGTACCGCTGTTTTTGCTTGGCAATATAACGACTGTGAATCCCGAGAGATGCGAGTATCGGCAACTTCCTGGACTGTTCCGCTTTCTACCTGCCTGCGCGTCAGAACACGATATATGCGACAGGCACGATATAGTTGAATATTTTGCCATTGGTATACATAGTTATATATCATTGATCAACATGCAACATATAAAACAATGCCAGAAGTAGCGAGTTTTCTTTTTTTTTTTAATGTTCTTCTCTCTTGAAATATAGTAATTTTTGTATTTTTTCTATTTGTCTTGTTTTCTAATTCTCTATCTTTGCACAAATTTTCCAAAATTACTGTAGCCAATAATGTTGCATTATAATTGTTATTTTAGTTAGGTCCCGTGACAATGTATTGAGCCAAGATCTAAATATGACTTACAGTCTAAAGTCTAAATTAATATATATTTAAATTATATATATATTTTCTTACATATTTATTTCTTTAAATTGGAATCAAGAAAATTTAATACTTAAATAATATATCAGATATCTTTTCCTAGTAACAAGTTTTTACATTAAGATTTGCAGAGAAGAGAGAGTAATATTATTTTAAATATGAGGCAATTTCGAGTATTTTTCATATATATTTGAAATGAAAGATTGTCACTACTTGGATAAAAAATAAATTTTTTTTGTATTTAGAGTAAAGAACAATTTTTAATTAAGTCATTAATTTAAAATTAACTCAAAAAAAGCTGTTAGTTGAATCTGATATTTGAAACTATCTTTAATCCTCTCTGATATGATGTCTAACACAAAATTTCTATTAATGTTACAGTCTTTGCACGCAAGTTTCTTTTTGTATTTTTCATATCAAATCTGAAAAAAATCGGAATGTGATATTTTTGATGATAAAAAAACAAAACAAACTTTTCATTTTTGTACGTGTGTGATTTCTCTTTTAAAAAACATATTTTTCCCTTAATCCTTTCTCCAATTTAAAAACTCATTGTAGATGAGAAACTCGTTATAAAAATTGCAAGATATTATTTAAGGAATTTGACACCTGACGATGCTTGTAACTGTCAATAGGGATGTGACCAGACTTGACCCTGCGCCAAGTGCACGACAAAGTATAATGGATCGACGCAAGGGCGGTCTATGAACTGTGAACTGAGATACTTTGATTTACATTATTTTTGTTCGTTTTTCACACACAGATTATTCTTACAGAGATGTTACTTTTTCTGAATAATGAAATCTTTCAGATTGATACGGCACTCATCTATTTTAATTTTAAAATAACATCTTTCCTTATAAGAAATTATATCTAAAGTTTTTCTTTATATTATTTATAAAAAAATTAAAAACGGAGAAATTAATGTGTAAACTATTTCTTATCCACATGACATTTTTCTTCTTTTTAAAGAGTTAATTTTCATTAGTTTTCAGTTAGATAAAATGTGGAGAAATCATGTATCTCGAATATATTTTTAAAAATCTTAGAAAGTGTAAATGCGCCACATATATAATCAACCAACTTTCTTGATTTGAAAGCTGAGGAATTTTGATATATCAGAATACGTACAAGAGTTATTTTTATCGCGATATGTCATTGATCTGAATAAAGCGGATGGCACAAAAAACGTATATTAAAATAGAATGAAATCATCGTTCTCTCTCCGTCTTTCCGTCTCCCACTCTCTCAGAGATTATATTGAATTCATTGAAATTTACGCTCGTTAGTGATCAGGCTCGTGAATTGCGGAGGACATTCCTTCTCAGAGACGTAATAATGAATCATGGAACCTTGAACGAAATAACGTAAGCTCGCACGCTTCAGGTAAAAAAAGGAGAGAAAGGATAGAAAGAATAATGCAGAGAATGCAGAGAGAAGAAAGAATGAAAAAGAAAAAAAGAGAGAAAATAAAAAAAAACAAACAAATCATAAAACTTTTATGGCTAATACTTCGCTATATTTACACATCGAGTCTGCAAGTCGGATGATCGAGATCGTGAGAAAGTATATACTGTGGAATTTCTGTGGGGTATCTAAGTTATGCGGGATCCTGAATATATTCCGCTCGTCCTCTATTACGCCACTGTTTCTTCCCCACTTCCTCCGATTGTTTTCGTCGACGACGTCGACGATCGACACCGCGCCGCCGCCTGGACACGCCGGCGTAAGAATGAGAGCACGTCCGTGTGTATGCATTCGCTTGCGCATGAATTAATGTCGCGCATACCGATGTCGGGGGAGCGGACAACGGGCGGCAGAGACGCGACACGTGATTCTCGCGCAGTGCGTGTAATATATACGTAGTAACGTGACCACCGAGCGTACGCTTTGTTTTTTCACGCACGTTCGTTAGCGACTGAATTATTTTCCACGATGAAACGAATACACGATAAGATTCGGAGATGCGTATGGCTGATAGAAGAATCAAGCCTGTCAACTCGTCGCGCATAATTGTTGATTATTCCGACGGGATTTTAAATTTAAATTTAGTTTGATTCTGTGAATGTAATCGTGATAAATGATGAAAAAATACGATAGAAAACAAAAGCGAAAATATCGCGATCATTCAATTCTTATCATTGATGATACGAAGCAAGCTCTTATAATGTGCGAAAAATACTTGTTACGTAAACTCCGAGCATGTAATGTCTCGATGCAATCTCCATGCTAATGTCTGTAATTTGCAAATGATATGATATGACAGATAGTTGAGAGAAGCAGATTCGCGTCTCTTCGAGTCCTTTCTTGCATCCTCTTCCCAAAATCGAACCACGTGAATGAGGAAGAATGATATCTTATATGTACTAATTTTCACTTTAATTTTCAATTTAATTTTAATGTTTTCAGACAAAGCAGCTAATTTTATGAGATGCAATCGGTCGTACTTTATGCTGCACGTGCATCGTGCATACGTCCAAAAATATACACACGGCTTTCCTCGGCGCCAGTAAACTCGCCGTTCGACGCTGTACTTTTTCTCGTACTTCGCCGAGAGTTCTCTTCGTCCCAACACTCGCGCTACACAGATGCTCTATCATAATAATCTCTATTTTAGGCCGGAGGGTCGGCTGAGTCGCGTTGTTGTAGCAGCGCAGATGTTCTCGTTCCGAGTTAAAAGCACTCGAGTAGGGGAAGGTCGAGCTCGAATAGCACGGTCGAGAAGAAGACGAATAGACAAATAGACGAGTTAGACGTGTTTAAAAGACTAGTGAGATTGCAACACGATAGTTGAAGCGAGAGGGCAAAAGAGAAAGAAAGAGAGAACAAGAACGAAAAAGAAAGACAAGGGAAATTAAAATGATGAAAAAAGGAAAGGACAAACAAGAGAGAAGAGGAATGTTAGTCATGATTACAGGAACGCTATCGCAAGCACGAAATCTATCTCTTTTTCGCTGATAAGAAAAGATTCTAGAGGTATTTAGCGGCGAAAGAAATATTGCGTATAAACTACGTATGTTGTCAAGATACTGTCGGACGCATTGGCTTTGAAAGAAATTGAAATCGGAGTAATTCGAGTCTCTTTGGGATCCGGTTACATCGTTATCCTAGCTTTATATTAACCGCGATTGGCGTCGTGTTGCTTTTCAGATCATAGCTGGGGCAAACAGATATAAAGGGAGAAGGGTTTGTTATGACACAGATAGCAAGCTTAATCGAGCATATCCAATGTTAATTGACTGTTAATAATAGTCAATACAAACTACCTGTCAGAAATCGATATCTCAATTACTTGCATTGTACCTTTTTTTCATATACATATACAATCTCTAAATTATAGGAATTGTCGCTCACGTGACAGCTATTGTAACGATAACATCGACGCGATAACACATATTTCAGATAATCGTAAGATATAATGTTGCGCATCAACTTGTTATTGTTATTTCACGCCAAGTTCTGTCCATAATATGAAAACGCCGACAAACATCGCATGTTATATGATATATTTACAAAGTGATGACACGGGACTGTAATAGTTATTAGTTTTTTTAAGACATGTTTAGATGTAAAGTAACCAGATACATTATGTTCTCGCGGAAGCTGCTCTTCTGCTTCATCATGCGGACATTTCGTGATTTTTACGGAACTCAGAGATAAGTTTCCGCCAACGATTAATTCAATAAAATTTATGACATCAGCTTACTAACGTCTTCTTTAGCGACTTATAACTGCAAATAAATTGTCTGTTTCTCGATGACGCAAAAATTTATTAAGGCTTCGCGCAAAAGCGGGTTTAGCGAGTCTTCGTAATACCTTATGGAGACCCCACAATTGTGCAACATAGACACTATATTATGATGATGCAAGATCAAATTTAAATCATATAACACTCACTTATAAGGTCACTGTGCTTTCGAGAGATATTATTGATCACGATTATTTTTAGCCAATGCGTCCTATTTGCGTCATCCATTGTATATATAAATATATCATATTTGCATTACTATATATAAATATATATAAATAAATATTTACTTCATATATGCACATGGATGTGTGTAAAATTTATTATACACCTTATATCTTGTTCTAAGCTTAAAAAATTGTTACGTTTTATGCTTATCTTATATATAACATTATTAATGATTATAATTAAAGACTTGAAAAGTTGGGTTTTTCAAATATTTCAAATAATTTCCAGATAGAAAAAATATACTATATTACAAAATGTAATTATAATAATTGTTTTTTTGTTCATATACTGTTAAAATATGAACATATTTTAAAGTTAAAAATGTTTCAATGCTTCCTCTTATGATTTTTTTGACCTTTACCTCTACTATTTTTCCTACCGTTTCTTCGGCGCTTTCGCTCGAGTAATTTACGCGCTTTTAAGATTTGCTCAGGTTTCTTCAGCTCGTTCTTTGTTTTAACTTTGTCTTTCAGTTTTTGATTGTGTCGCGCCCAATGTGTATTTGCTGTTGTTCGCACTGAAATAAAACAAAAACAGCATTTTACAGTATTTTTCGAGTTCGTTTTCCGATGCGCATAAAGCAATAAAAAATCTATAGATCGCGTTACATATGTTATAGATTTTATATCACTTCATGTGTATCATATACGAAAAAACAGAATTATGTAATGATAACGAATGCATCGAATGAATCGATATGTATAAGAAATTTGTAGAACAAATGTTGTGATTAGATTTAATATTTTTTAATATAAGGTCGTATATTTACTTACATTTTTGCGTCTGTAAAGATTCTTCCTCACTATCACTCTCATTGTCATTTTCATCAACTTTACTTTTTTCCTTCCACATGTTATACCGATTTGTTTTATATGTAGCAGGTATCCATACACCCGATTCGGTACGTATTTTTTTCGCTTTCGGATCCTGTTTCGACAAAATGCATAGCAAATTATTTTGTTTCTATGATGAAAAATAACATATAAAGATATATATTAATCATTAATCATATATGTACCCTATCAATGGTGACCATTTTCTTTTTCTTCCGATCCCATTTTTTTAATTGCTTTTGAAGATGTTGGCTGTCTTCGTTATCTGCCATCAAATCCATCTGTGCTTTATCAGCTTCTGTGGCAAAAGTGTTAACAGCTAAACTGAAAAAATAAAACAAAATATTAAATAGGATATAGATAATAACTGAGATTAAAATATCATTTTTTTAAATTAAAATATAGTGTAATAAGAGAATAATTTTATTATTTCAGAATAATATTTATATAAAAGTTATAAATATATTAGAATATAAAATATATGATATAAAAATGATTTTGTGAACTTATTGTGTTTGATTTTATGAACTGATTTTTTACCCTTCTTCTGTATGCTTGTCTGGTGCGGAATAAGGTATATAATATTCTTCATCTCGTTTTGTATGTGTTTTCTTTTTCTTTGAAATTTTATATAAATCATCGCCACTTCTTTTTTTCGGAACTATCACTGTACTGAATGCAGCATTAATTTCTTCCGCACTGCTGGATGGCAGATTAATCTTTTTTGGCAAATTTTCTATAAAGGTTGAAAAAACTCAATTATGGTTGTTCCATATACATACATACATACATACATACATACATATATGTATACACACACACATATCTCCCCACACACACCCACACTCACAAACACACATATAATATAATTTATTAGCATAATAATTTACTTGATGTCATGTTAACTTCTTCAGTTTTGCGGTCTTCTATTTTTTTGTGAAAATTAAAAATATTCTCCTTGTGAAATATTCGTTTCGTCTTCATCACTTGGTAATCTACTGAATTCGCTTTTGTACCAATCTCAAATATCGTCTATTATATGTACAAAAGATTTGAATATTAAAACTGAAATATAACTTGATATATAACTTGTTTTTGTTTACTCACCCCCTTTGGTCTATAGCTTTTCATCTTGGATATTATATCTGCTGCTGTAGGAGAAACATCAGAATATTGTGGTAGAATTCCAGCTTCATTTATACAAAGTTCTTTGATTCTTTTAACACTTTCTGTTGAAGCACCTGGACGTGATCTGACATATCGCTGATAAGCATTGTTACACACCCTTTGCATATTTGTCTGAGAATACAAATACTCACTTAATGAAATAAAAAAGGAAAAGAGAATTAGTTAATACTAATTTATGAATTAATATACTTACAAGATCTGTAGAACTGTTGTGCCAATTTATTAATTCACCTAGTTCCTCCTCTATCATAGATTGTGGCATTTTGCCCACAGCAGATTCTACGTTTTCAATGGATCCTGTACTCGGCATTATCGTTAAAGGCCGACCAAGAAAAAGATGTAAATCTAGTAGATAAGGATATTCGTCCGAACTCACAATATTATATGCTGTTCCAACACGTCCAGCTCGAGCACATCGTCCTAAAAAGTAAATTATTATTATAGCTGAATACAATTAAATGCTTGTTATATATATATTTGTGATTTCTAAATATAGTAATTAAAAGTATAATTACAAACATACCCACTCTATGTACAAAGAGTTTAGATTTTGCAGGAAAATTAAAGTTAATTACATAATCTAGATATGGTATATCTATTCCTCTAGCAGCAACATCTGTTACTATAAGAACTTTTACTTTGCCAGTTTGAAACTTAGCTGCGTTTATTTTACGCGCGCAAGGATCCAGATTCGAGTAAATAAAAGTATTAGAGATGTTTGCTTTATCCAATATCTGTTTAAAAATCATTTTATATTGTATATTTCATTACTAAATTTTAAGTAATTTACAAAATATATTTGAGAAAAATGGTTATATTAATGATTACCTGATGAATATATTCCACATGATGCATAGTCTCTGCAAATATAATTGTTTGTGAATCAGGCTTAATAATCCTTTTTAACAAGCATAGAAGTACAGCCAATTTCTCTTCAGGGCGACATGTAATAAACGATAACATTAACCCTTCTGGCAATTTACTTTCAACATCCAAACGAAGCAAAACTGGATCATTTAGACCAGCTTTTGCAAAATCCACTAAGATTTTGGGCAAAGTGGCAGAGAATAACAATGTTTGACGCGTTTCGGGTAATCTGTTTACAATTTCTTGTATCTGTTCTCCAAATCCCATTTCAAATAATCTGGAATGCACAATCTCATTTTTAAGATGTTTAACAGAAATACAAATATTAAAAACACGCATAAGAGGAAAATTATTACCTATCAGCTTCATCAAAGACAACGTACTCAACATTTTTTAATTTCAGATCCATTTCTATACATATATGTACAAATCTTCCTGGAGTAGCTACAATGATATCAGGATTTTCATGAATTATACTAAATTGATTATCCATACTATCACCACCCAATATCACAACTGCCTTTAATCCTGTAAATCTTCCCAATTCCTTTATAAATTTCAATGTTTGCAATGCCAATTCACGTGTAGGCGATAATATCAATGCCCGTGCTCCGGTCTTTGTTTGTCTTGTTTTGAGTTTTTCAAATAAAGGAATTAAAAAGCAAGCAGTTTTTCCACTACCCGTTCTAGCCATTGCTACTATATCTCTTCCCTCGAGAGCTAATGGTATAGTCTGTTGAAAAATAATTTGATATTAATGCTGAATGAGACTTATTATACTTAGAATGTTATAATCTCAATGTAAATCTAAATATCTTTCGTTTAATAACATACTTTTCTTTGTATAGGTGTAGGAATCTTATAGCCCCGTTTGAGAATTCCTTTTAATATTGGAAAACTGAGAGCCATAGATTGAAATCCTCCAGATTTCTTGGGACCCTTCATTCTATTGAAGATTTTATCATAAATATATAAAATAAATTTACTACACATACACACAAATAAATATGCAAAATTTTCACAACTCATAATCTTAATTCTAAAGAGATTTGTGATTAACTTATAGTCGAATTTTTTTTTTATAAATTGTAACATGCAATTTTCTTATATCATAAATCTTTGCAATTATATATTTATAATTGAAATTTTATTCGAATAAAATTTATTTAAATTAATAAAAAATGTAATTTTGTTGCTTACTTGAAATTTAATTAGTGAAAAGTTCTTTTCCAATTGCTTATAATTTGAAAATTATACAGTGCCTTGATATTTTACCAAGGAAAAATTTAACTTTAAGAAATGTCATTAAAATTTCTAATATTTATTAGAATTATGTGCAATATTGTATACAAAGTCAATACTTATATGTGTTGTAATAACTGTGCACACTATTTCTCTCAGCATACCCTACAGAAAAACATAACCAAAAATAATCACATGTGCATAAAAAAATTAAGAGCGGACTAAAAACCTCTAAAACGCAAACGAATATGATTGGTTTCTACTTTCAGATCTGACCAGTCAGTGTCGAATTACATCTAGTAATATTTCTCAACTGTTGCGGCCAATTCTATTCAAGAAGAGCAACATTTAATTGACCAATCAAAGCAAAGAAATCTTTGCTCCTTTTAATTTGATTGGTCACTTAAATGTCACTTTACCCCAAGATCTTTCGAACACACATTAGACAGAGAAGACTGAGAGATGTCATGGCCCGCTTTTAGGTGATCCCTGGAAGTAATAAGGCTATCACACACAAAATTGCATAGCTGCATATGCATAGCATAAGATTATATGTAAAGTCACTAGATTAACAAAGTACCGCAATTTTGATCTCAATAAGATAAGCTGGAGCAAAAATGGCGTCCGATAGTATAGATATACACGTATACACGGATTAATAATTTATTAAACACACATCTTTAAAGTCACACACACACACTCACACACACACGTACACGTACACGGTTAATTATTTATTAAACGATTAATACTTCGTGAAGTTATTTCCATTTTTATTTGCAATTATGATTTTTAATAAAGATTTCTCATCATAATAAAAGAATTGTATATCGTTTATCAAAAGTTTAAATTAGATTTAAAAGTATATTATTGCCTCTTTTCGATAATAATTGATTATTTCACTGTACCTATTTCGTGAATAGCTATCATTACAGAGATCGAGTAGAGTTTGACAATGCAATAAAATTAAATACAAATTAATTATAATAATTAAATATAAATTTGTTTATAATTAACTTTTTCTACGTTGAGAAAAGTTCTTCGTTTCTTTTGGAATATCTTAAAGATTCTTTTAATTAAATTTTACAAAATATATAACTATTAAATTTATAGTATTTAATATTTAGAAATAAATAGATAATATTTCATTTTTATAGATTAAGTATACGATATTATTTATTAAAAGAACTGATATATCTTTTATGGATCTTTTTGTTAAGTTAATTATTTAGATCTACAATTCGATTGTTTTACTGCATTTCAATCCGAATTATATATTTAAATGATCGAAAAATAAAACGATAATAAAATAATAAGCAATATATCTATTTTAAAAATAGTGTATATAAATAATAAATAATTTTTATAAATTACTCACCGCATGTCTCTGGCTGCTTCAGGCTCTCTCCCTGCTTTCTGACTGTCCGATACTTTTTCAGATGTCCTTCTCTTTTGTTGTTTCATCCTTTGTTGTTTCCTCGTAGCAGTCACTCGCGAACAAACAATTATATTTCAGTTAATTATATTTCAGTCATATACAGAAACGATCGCGAGACACTTTGCACGGCACTCCCGATCGCAAAATAATCATACGAGATACGTATTTTTATAATATTATTATTATTATTATTTATAATATTATTATTATTTTATTATTATTGCAAGAGAGGAACACAAAAATTACAATAATTCGCTCGATTTTTAAACGAAGCCAAAATCATGCACCACTCGATTCTTACACTAATTAACTATTTCTATTTGTTGATGTATAATATATGCTTAATAACGCGAATCATAAGATTAAAATATTAAAGTAATGTAAATTGCTGATACAGCAATCGTTTAATTAATATGATGTATATGCATGCAGTTTAGGAAAGTTTAAAACATCGGGCGAAATCGAATTTCATTCTATGCAATGTTAAAGAAATAATTATTATTCGTAAAGTTCGATAATCGGAGAATATTGCGAGAAAATTTGTAATTTTTGCCCCTTTTGCTTCAATTTTTATTTGCAATAATGAAAGATCGCGTTTCGATGAATTTATCGTCGCCACAATTGCATTTATTATAAGAGTTAATTATTTGTCATTTGTAATAGTCAAATTATTATATTTTGATCTAATCGCGATCGTACCTTTAGGAAAAGAATTCGATAATACGGAGCGGTCCGTATCGCTACTTTCTCCGTTGGAATGTCGCCGTGCGAATGAGGGGAGGTCGTCGCGTATGTAAACAATAGCGCGCTACGTCACAAGGCCAAATGACGTCACAAGGTTGAATGACGTGTTAGCTCGCTGCCGAAATATTTAACGCGTACTGTGACGTATGTGAGAATTGTATTTATATACAAGTATATTTTTAAAGTCATACACACACACACACGCGCACACACGCACACACTCACGTACACTGAGAAAAAAAAGTTGTTAACTCGACTAAACCGTTTAACTAAATTATTATTTTTTTAATTGAAATATCGAAATATTTAAGTTAAATAAATGTCATGTTACATTTATAATAGTTAAATATTTCAATTAAAAAGATAATAATTTAGTTAAATGGTTTAGTTAAGTTAACAACTTTTTTTCTCAGTGTACACAGATTAATTATTTATTAAACCTCACGAGATGTATTAATCATTTAATAATATAAGTGTATTTATATCCAAGTATATTTTTAAAGTCTCACACACACACGTACACTGAGAAAAAAAAGTTGTTAACTCGACTAAACCGTTTAACTAAATTATTATTTTTTTAATTGAAATATCGAAATATTTAAGTTAAATAAATGTCATGTTAGATTTATAATAGTTAAATATTCCAGTTAAAAAGATAATAATTTAGTTAAATGGTTTAGTTAAGTTAACAACTTTTTTTCTTTTACAATTAGTCTTTTCTCTGTCTACTATTTGATTGTTTTATTACGCTTTTACAAGGTCAGGTTCTATAATGTAACTTTTAATTTTGTATTTCATATGAAATTATTATTTTAAACATAATAATTTTCTTTCTTTGCATTTCTATCATGAATAGACATTTCCAACCTTTACTAAAAATATCCCTCAATTCTTTCTCTCTTCGGACAATTTATTTACATTTATATATAATTCTCTTTATTCTTTTAAAAGTGAACATCGAGAACAAGGTACACGAGTATTGTAAATGTCAAAAAATGATCGCGAATTTCTACGTTATATATTGAATCAAAATTGCACAAAAGAGGAAAAGAAGAACAAGCCTATGAATAGACATTTCCATTTCTTACTAAAAAAAAAAATTAAAAATATCTCTCAATTTTTTCTCTCTTTCTTCAGGCAAGTCTACATATATGACCAATATGATTAATTGATTCAATCTTTATATATTTATCATTATGTGCTATTAATTAAAGCCGTAGACAATATTCAGAAATCAAAGTTGTGCGAACGTTGAGCACAGGAATGGCCATGCGCAGAAACGAATGCGCAGTGGTTCGGCCGCCATGTTAGCGCGTGACTGCTACGTCATACGCGTCATACGTGACTCGGAGTCATACGCAGTTACACGGATCGTCGAACGTCCGCATTTTTCACGTCTTTTAACCGTTTTTAAACGAATATCGCGAGTGAAAGAGCGTCGAAAGTGTTCAAGGATGATCGCGCGACATTCATAATATGTCAGTGAAAGTGCGCGACATCTGTTTTTAACAGTTCAGTGATAGCTCGATCGCGAAGATGGAGCGAAGTCGCGTCGCGTTATTTGCGCCCTTGATGATGATTATCGGATGCGAGCGAATATCGGGAGTGCCGAATAAAGTGTCGCGTGTTCGCGTTGATGATATCGTGTGCATCAAGATCGGAATGGGACGTCCCGAGGCGAGCGAGTGGAGCGGCCTGTGGAACAGCCGGTGAACGGTGAGTAGATTTGATTTATCATATTTGTGTGACAATTTGTGCTCATTCGACGCTTATACAGCATCGCGATGTCTTGAATTACGTTCGAACAAATCGGCGCCGCATCATAATTCGATGTGATGCCGTGCAATTCAAATAAAGTCGATCGCGTGAAGATGGTTAGGCTAGAAGCGATTTCAAATTTATTTTATATACGCGCAGTGCTGCACAGCCTATCTTGTAGGGCTGCCAACTGTTAAACGATAAATGTTTTCGATCTAACCTAACCTAACCTCTCAATGCTTTGGCTGTCGAATGTAAACACAAGCGTATGCTGCCTGGATTTTATCATGCTTTCAAAAATAATATTTAATTATTTCATTAGTGTATTACATTTTATTACGTAGTATATTAATCGTATTAAATGTGCGACGTACAGTTTTACACATTTTAATGAGAAGCATATAATATAATTGGTTAGATTAGATTAAATTAAAACAAGCTGCTGTGATTCATTTAACGTAATAGGATTAATTTGACGAATGTGCAGCTATTGAAGTTACATGATATTTGTGGACACATTTTTAAAGTAATCATGAGTGTCTTATCTCATCTTGATTATATGAAATTAAAATATAAAATATTTATGTATTCCACATTAACGTTATTCATTACAAGTACTATATTACTTTTCTTATATCTCAATCATATTTCATCGATGAAGCTTTTCATATATCGCAGACAATATGATACTGTGTGTGGAATTTTACACAGGTAATACATGGCACAAAAATAATTTGTTCTCAAGTATTGTGCGTATTTCTCAAAAATAAATCAAATTAAATTATTTTAAGTAGGATCCAAAAATCACTACATTGCCAGGATTGTATCTTATTATAACTGCGATATTATCACCTTTTAATATGTGTGCGCAGTATTACATACATAAAATATATAAATTTATTTGAAACGTACAGAAATCTTTATCTTATTTATAATATTTATGATATAAAAGAAAATTGCAACTCTAATGAAACAGAGCGGTGGAATAATTGGTTGATACTTATGCTGGTCTACAATATTTATCCTTTTTTCATCATTAGTTTTTTGGTGCTTTTTTTATTATACAGATGTTATCTGTAAATATAGTACTTGTAATGTTGTTTCTGTATCACTGTAAGCACACAAAAATGATAGCATTTGCAGGTAATTATGTTATACTTATATATCATAAGAAAGATAAAATAAAATTAAAGTTGAATACTGAATGTGCTCTAAAGTAAATCTCATCTAAATAAATAAATGCATAAATGTGCGCCCCACATTCCTCATGAAAAAAATACATAATATTAATTTTTATGTATTATTATTTTTAGATTTTTATTCTTTTAAATTCTCTAGATGCACTTTTCATTTCTCCTCTCTTTCTTTCCAACTACTACATATAGATCTATCATTTTTAATATAGATCTGTCATTTTTAGTGTACATTATTGCAGTAAGTGGAATAAAGAGCAAATCTTTTGGCACATTTAAAATGTACAGGAAAGTTTTATCTGATGCGTTTTTTTCAATAGAAATATCTGAAAAAAATGCATACGTCTTTTTTAATCTTAGTCTTTCTAAGGCTCAACTGATTCGAGTTATTGTGTAAATATATTATATATCGATAAATAGAAATATCATTAGTATAAAAATCGAATAATGCATGATTTTGCTTCGTTTAAATGTTGAGCAAATTATATTATTATACATCATTAAATAGAAATATTATTAGTGTAAAAATCGAGCCGAACACCGTGTTATTGTTCGTTCCTCGAAATATATTTTACGTATTTTAATACAACAAACAATGTTCTAATATTGATCGCGATCGTGTCAAGAAAATGAATTTTTAATGTCTCGCACCAGTATTTTTTTTTTGAATGTCGTCGCACGAATGTTTGTAGTTCATATCTTTTCAATCTTCATAGAGGGAGTATCGCTTTCAAAGATCATCTAAAAGGCCGTGACATTTCTGTTTTTTCTCTGTCTTTCGAACACACCCTAGATATTTACTAAATTTTTTCGCAGTTGGCTCCATTGGAATCCATTTTCTTCCTTCGTCTCCGTAGCCGTTCAAGCGCGCGAACGTACGTCGATCGATTTCGGGTAAAGTTTTTCAAGATTAACGCGATAAAGTGTATCACGCGAGAGAAATCACGGTTTGTATTAATTTTCGGAAACGCGAGATCGCCGTGGAACCGGTCAAACATACGCGATTGCTACGATATTATATGATTGCGTGCGTTTATGTGATCGGTTGTGTTTTTCAAATAGACTTTGGCGAATTTTCCTCAAGACTTTCTCGGAGTGTATTGAATATTTGGCGATAAAACCAGCATCCTGTTGTTACAGCGTTCTCTCCTGTCTTCCTTTTTCTGGTAAGTGACAACGAATATTGTCCTCGTAAAATATAAGCGAAAGCTCATCGAAATTACACATCGATTGAAATAGTTTGTAACGAAAAAAGAATTTATGTTGCAATTAAAAATCAAGATGGCGCATGCGATAGCGCGAATATCGTTGATTTAAGTTATCTAAATCTGCAAAATATGTAATCCTAATAAATATTAATATTTAATCATCACAGTTAATTTTTCTTTTTAATTAAAAGCTAAGTTTGACGATGTGTAATTCTTTGACATTTTGTGCGATATATTTTCTTGTGATAAATTTTTGAATTGGAACGAAAGGGGAATAAATTTTTTATATAGATAAAAAAAAACAAATATCTATGAATATATAATTGATTTATTGTATTGTATTCGTACTCGCGTGTATTCTACGCTATAGTTCTATGCTAAAATCGACAAAAATTGGCTAACACTTTGGACTACCCGGTATACAGAGTTGATTTGATTCCTTTCGCCGAAACTCATCGGTGATTAGTTATTACAGTATATAACGGCTATGTACAGTTTCACTAAGTTAAAAAGTCGCCGCGAAAATAGCTCCGTACGAAAATTCCCTCGCAAAATTTTCGTACCAATTCCATAAAAATAAATGGTAAATAGATAAGAAAAAGAAACAAAGAGAATCGGGCGAAGAAACGGAATAAAAAAAAGTATAATAAATGGTGAGCTATTAAAAATCGTGATTAGTATTCGTTTAATAATCGTGTCTTTCTATGTACAATTTGTAAACGTCTCGCTAAAGTTAACATAAATTTCTACACGTTATGTAAATACATATAGAAGGTAAAAAAAGTATACTCGTCGTCGAAGACGAAGCGGGAAAATGTCCCCTCCTAATTCTACATAATGAAAATGTAAGAGTCTAACAAACCGCAGATCTCTATACATCTAAAGATCTGTGGAAGTAGAAATCTATATGGATTCTAAGAATTCCTTATCATGAATTACAGATTCCAAATATTCGTGCGATCATAAATTTGCAGATTGAAAGACCCGTAAAAGCATGGATTTGTAAAGCGAAGAATTTATAGATTAATTTAAAAAATCTCGAGAGAATAATAACTTATAAAAGCACGAATCTGTGGGTTCTGTGACTTATCGAAACATGGATTTTGAGAATCCGAGAGCCTATGAAAAGTATGCGGGGCTACGGATATATGAATGCGCGATTCGTTCTATGGATTCTAAGGATCCGCGTGGAGTCTATACATATCTATATATCTGTACGTGTATTATATAATTATGTATATATATAATTAATCGATTGTGTTAAATTGGGATGTACATGCTATGCCGCGAGCCTGCTCATCGGCCGAAATACTGCACGGTGCTCCGAAACATTACAAGGCATCGCTACTTGCTGCTTACAAAGTCGTTCTCACAATTTCGAGCGTACTGATCTCGTTTCATTAATATACGTCTATTGCTCAATAGGATTTTATTCTTGAAGATACGTTTAATTAAGTGACCGTATATATGTTTCAATGAAGTATATGTAAAATTCATAAGCTTTCACACAATTATTAAAAGTAAAAATTTCCATCTTTCTAAAGCCGATGAGAGAATTATCAAATTATAATATAATTAACAATACTTATAATACGTTTTATCAATTATATAACATGTCACATTAATTTTGTTCGCAATAATAATTCAATATCTCACGCTAGAGACGATCTAGGATTAAATGTGCCATTCTCAATTTATGATACACTAGCTTATACCTATATAAGATTCAGAAAAATACGCCAAGTATTAATTCAGTATTCAATGTAAAATATGAATTTTTTTTTTACTTTCGTTTGATTTCGCGACACAAGATCATCCATTTTCCATTCTATGCGCGACTCTGCTAGTTGATTCGCGATGCTCTCTGTCGGATTTATGGGATTCCGCGTGAAATCGTGATATACACACGTGAGATCCATATTTCCAGGCGTCATGGCTGCTGTGACCCGCATGAGATTTCCGTGCGAACGAACGAGAAATCGCTATCGCTTCACCTCGATAGACGATCGTTACTAGAGACACTCGAGTCAGAGTTTGACTGAAAAAGTTAATTTAAAGTAATTTCTAGGTATAAATAAATATTAAAAATGTTCATTAAAAATAATAATTACAAGTCTAAAAATATTTAACGAATTTAAACTATGTTAAAAAACTGAATTAATTATATATTTAATTCAAAATTGCAAAAAGACTGTCTTGTTGCATTATAAGAATAATGTTGTATTTTGTATCGTGTAAAAAGTTCATAAAAAATATTTAATTTCTAAATAATTTGCGTCTATAGCTCCGAAAAAAATATTTTTTCTGTGATTTTTAACTTAACAGTATAGAAATAAAATCAGAAATTTATAACAATAAACTATATATTGCTATATATATTACTGTTTTTTTTTTTAAAATATGCAATTTTAAAATTAACATAATTTGTAATTCAAATTTTTTCAATCAGTAGATAAGATATAATTTTTGCATGATAGTTTTTTTGCATATAATTGTTATTAGTACTTGAAATTTTTTATCTTGACAAAATCACGAGAGAAGAGCTATTACTTTGGCTCGAGTATATCTCTAGTTACTACTCGACGTTACTAACACGGGAACACAGGAACTCACCAACCTTAATGCATATTGATACGAAGTGGTGACTAGTAGGTTTTTGCCGAGCACTCGGCCGCGTCCGGTCTGTATGTTCCCGCCAACAAGAGTTTCCCAGAGATAGAAGAAGAGATAATATCGCGAAAAATATTGAAGAGAAAGCTTAAAACGAGATAAAAAGAACAATTTTACATCATATTACAATAATTTGTAATAACCGCGATTATTCTGAGATGGCGTTTCAGCCATTTATATTCCTCTATATTGTATTTCGCGTGATATAGACAGCAAAATATTTTTTTATCGCATTAACATAATATTCATGCGGTACTTATAAGTCTATCATCGTTTTTCATTATAGATGACAGACTTATAAGTACTGCGTGCATATTATGTTGCTCTATGAATAAATAAGCGTTTATGAATATTTATCCCGAATTAATCCATTGCGATATCTGTCAGAGACTGCTAAGAAGTATGCTTTGTTCCCGGTATTACTTATATTAGCTCTTATCAAGTATTTAAATATCGAAAATTTTATCTCATTTAATGGAAAATACGATTTTAAACAAAAATACTATTTTGAAAATCGATTCCGAGAATTCCTGAGAATATTTTTTTTTAATTATTGCACGATTTTTAGATATATATATATATCACGCGCTAATTATTTCACAACATTATATCTCTTCTTCTTTATTATTCGTGATATAGTCACGAATACTGAAACGTTATCTTGAAAAAAAAGATAAGAAGAGGTTGGGATTGCGTATAGAGTCTCTTTACATGCGTACAAAATGTTGCAACGAAGAGTTTATCGCTCACATGAGTTTCACTGCATATCTCGCGAATTAGAATTTTTAGAGGCCGGACGCGGCGGTGAATAAAGTGCGCGATTAATTAAATCCGTGGCAAGTGGAATTCGCCGAATTCGTCAACTGGTCCCAAATTGTTCGACACCTCGTAGCCTTCCTCCAGTGAGGTAGCTGGATTCCGAGTCGCTTACACTCGTGCGCGTATGCCATGAAAGACTGGCAGTAACAATGCTGGGTTGGGCATTCGCACATGTCCTGAATGCAGGCTTTGAAGAACATCATCGGATTCACCTTCTTGTGACAGGGGTCGAAGATTTGCGATTTCAGTCGATTGCACAGTCTACAAAAATAAAATTATAAGTTGTAAAAAATAACTTAGAATTCGTCTATTTTGAAAGAGATAGAAGTGAAACTTTGAAAATATTTATAATGAAATCGGAATAATAAATGAAAGAATGAAAAAGATAACGATAATAATCAGCCAAACTATATATGTTATTAAGAATTATTAATAGCAATCACATTTAATATTGAGAATATTATTCTTTTGCAATATTATAAGAATTATAAGAATAATAGAATTTTAGAGAAATTATTTTATCATTGTATGAAATCAACAATATATCAACAATATATGATAATAACTTTTTGATTCTTTTTTTAATTTCTAAATTTAAAAAAATATCATATAATATATAAAGAAAAAAGTGAAAAATTCATGTAAATTACCGGTGATTTCTTCCTCGACAACGTTCTTCCTTTTCAACATTTCCTAATCTTGGAGATCGAGTGCATGTTTTTTTGGCGCTCACGACCCAAGATTGACCAAATTTCTGCGCATCCTGCAGCAATCGGCCGCGTCGCGTCGTGAAATCGTCCTTGGTCTGGGAATTGAAGTTACCGCAGAGACCGCATAATCGACCTCTGTACGACGAAGGCACGGACACTTCGAGAAAGCTGATACCATCCCAGAGAACCTTGATCCCGATGTGCGTGTTGACAATCACGCTGTCAGTCGTACAGTTAATATCCAATCGGTTAGTGATATGATAAGGAAGGTTCACTTTCTTGCCGTTTACCTTCACCCTCATTTTTTGACCAAGGTTTACTTTCAAGTCACCGATCTGTAATACAGGATGCGAATAGAGCAAAAGGTTTTTCTTCCTGATGCGACTGATTCTTTTAATAAAACAAGAAATCCTTGTCTCGAGATAGATTTCATCTCGTAATGATATTAGTCAAGCAACTTGACAATCAAAACTCGTAGTTTGAGTACGTATTATTCGACATTATTAATTATAGATATTTTCAAGAACGTTGAAAGCATTAGTTATAATATTATTCAACTTAAAAATTTAAACACAATAATAATATGATTTTCTCAAAAATCATTATTATCATATTTTCCCAAAAATCATATTATAATCATATTTTCGTCAAAAATCATATATATACATTATATATATATATATATATATATATATATATATGTACATGTATATTCTATTATATATATTATATATATTCTATATTATATATATATTATATATATTTTATTATATATATATATATATATATATATATATATATATATATACATGTATATTCTATTTAATTAAAAAAAAATGATGCTTAATTTATTCCGCATTACAATTACACTGATAATTTTGCATTAATTTAATCACTCACTTTTAAAGCGATGGTTTTGGTCCATGCTGAAGATTTTGTTCTTCTTGCGTCGTTAGTTACACGTATGCTAAATGTGCGAGAGACACAATCAGTGACCAATTGATATTTGCATGCCCCCTTGAAGCTGTAAAATTTACCGTCAAACGTGCGATAGTGCGGGTCTCCAAAAACCGTACAAATCCCATCACCTGGAAGAATCGATAATTTTTTAAAATTCTAAATATCAATCGCATATAGCGTAACGTTGTACAGTATGCTTACTTTCAACGCATCGAGGACAGCATTGACCTTCCGGATGTTCTAATTTTGAGTTTGGTGGGCAAGGAAGATTCAACTGCGGACACATAGGCATTGCACAGCGTACCTTGCCCTGTTTGCAGGTGCACGTCTTGCAAGAATCAAGATTCCAATTTTCGCCATCCTGCCTAGGACAAAAAAGAACGTTTAAACCAACTGAAAACAAACATTTAATCCCGCGAAAATTTACCGCGAATTTACGAGACTTATTTTTTTATTTAAAAAAAAAATATTAAAGGAAAAATACGATATATTTTTGAATTTTAGTTGAAAGTACGTTAGTTGAAATAAAAATTTATATTTGTCGATATATTTACTACGGTCTATTACTCCTATTATCTCTATCAGTTTTGATAACAAATATTTTTTAATTTTATTTCTCGGACAATTTTTTTAAAAACGAACCAAAAAATTAATAATTGAAGATCAGATAGCTGAATCTTAAAATCAATATATTGAAAATATATAGAAATACATATGATGAAAATCGTATTCAAACAATATTCTTGACTTTTTATTAAGCCATTTGTTTATCAAAATTTCACAATATTTTATTCCGTTTATTCTCGATAATTGCTTGTTTACGTCGCATTCACAAAGTAAAATCATTTATCGCGATGAACAAAAAGCGTGATACTCGCCTGATAAGTTCTTCCGCCATAAGAGCAGGAGGCCCTGCTCTCCAGAACGGTTGGACATTTCGGGCAACAGTGACGGGTCATAGGGTTCTGAGAGGGCTCGCTGGGACATTCCAGTACCGGACAGGTATGCCTTTCACACGAGAGCATCGAATTGGTGCAGTTGCACCACGTGCATACATCCACCTTATGAAAGGAGCCCGAGTCGATTACGCGCATGTCAATCATACACGCGCCTTTCGGAGGTAGGAAGAATCTTGCGCTGCCTGCATAAAAGAGAAAAAAGTGCTTTTAACTTGAATGCATGCTCTATGTTGTGTAAGTAATGGCGCATATTATAAGCGAAATGCTCTGAACCATTCTCTTTTTACGCGCAATAGTGATATAAATTGTATTTTTTTTTTTATTATATTCACATATTTTCATCTCTCTCTCCTTCTTTTAATAAAATATAAAATAAATATACATATTTATATAAAATTTGATATTCGAATAAGTATGATACTCATAAATTTTTTTATCAATTTTGTGTGGATTCAGTTATAAGTCTAAAAATAAGTCTAAAACGGATGTTTGTTTTTTAATGCTATATTTTTATCATATGCGTATTTTGTTATGCGACGCATTATATTTGATTGTAAAATTTGAAAGTTGTGGAGTTAAATATTTTCACAGTTATAATGACTAGCTATTCTCTCGAATGGCTAGATCATAATATTACGTGATGACAATCATAACATTACGTTATTATGGCTGGTTTTTGCGCAATTGCGACATTGGAAAATAATCAGATTCGCATAAACCGGTTCGCGCTTCTGATATTATGTGAAAGAGAGAGAGATCGCGGAATGACCTATAAAATTCAAAGTGACTTTAATTGTTTGTGCAATATGATCTATTGAAAATATTTCTTTTAAAAAATGATCTCGAAGAATGAAAATCTAATCGTTATTAATCTGCATTTGCCTGGCAATACTTACGTAATAAAGCAATCTTGTATCTTTATGTAATATTACACCCACGTACAATTATTGAGCTTATATATCGTAAAGGAACAATGAAATTATCACACGGAATCTCAATTGAAAGAAATACGCGTTTAAGCATTTAAATAATAAAATCGAATAAGCAGATTTCTTCTTTCTGAGCAATTCGAGTGCTAAACTCAGATAATTTTGAAGCGGTGCGCTACATTTCATCTCGAATAATGGAAATTATATAATTCCTTTCACCTCGACAGCGTGGACAACACTTGCCAGGATCGTGAACAATCCTCGAGACAGGACAACTGAGTATCGGACAGGCTAACTTTGCACATATGAGCTTATTGTTGTTGCATCTACAGGTTACGCAAGGGTCCTCAGTTGTCACCGACCTATCCGCGGTGACTTTCTGCCCGTTCACTAAGCATCCTGTAAAATACGATGACATCGATTATTTGCGCGTTTGGTTTATTCTCTCTTTATATTCGGACATAAAAATCCGACATAAATTTAACTGCACATTGTATAATATTAACATTATAATATAATAATTTATTATATTATAAATAATATTAACGTTATAAATAAATATAACGTAAATATAAAATAAATATAAATGTTAATTATAATGATAATAAATAATAATTATTAATGATAATTAATATTATAACAAAATAATTTATTTGAAACATATATGCGGAAAAGTATGCAATATATAATACAGAGAGATTGTGCGTGTAATTATACGATTCGAAAAAGAATCCAGATTCTTATGACATCGTGTACAGTATTAAGTTTATGGGAACATATTTTGTACGAAGCAAAAAAATGTCACAATACAGGCATTATCGTTTGTTCATTTTTCGTTCGTCGTGTAGAAGTGACGCTGTAATTTTCAATCATTATCGTTCTCCCCTCGTTATATCGGAGAGAAACATTCCAGCCTTAATTGCGCGGCAAGATGCATTGAGGGGGATCGTGAGAAATATTTGTGAGATTGGCGTGATTAATTAGCAGCAGCGGCATCGAAGGGGAAAAAGAAAAATATTACGAACCGTCGCATGTCGGGCAGCATTGACCACGTGGGGCCGGTTTCGGATTGGAGCAGGGCGTGTAACACTCTAGCTTTGCTCTGGTGATGATGCCCGCTTTGCAGGTAAATATGAGGCACGGGTCCGTCTCCGTCCATTCCGTCTCAGATGCGTGATAAGTGCCGTTGTGTATGCATCCTGCAATTCATAAAAGCAACATCGTTCCTCAAAGTACTAGTATTATCGAAACTGCGCAATTCTGAAGAATAACGCGTTGAATTAAACATTTGGAATGTGTTAATCTTTTTAGACGCTCATTTACGTAATTACATATTCGAGAGTAAAAATTAAGATAATATAATTATATACGACATCTCGGTCTCTCGATAATTCAATGTTGTACTTTTATATTTTAACCTTTTCCATAAACGCAATCGCATACTATGTTTTCCAAACAGATTTTGTCGTCGGCGAACACCACACGAGCAAGCTTACGTCACCATTAACATAATTAATAGGGTATGATAATGGGCACTATGCGCGAGCATCTGTCAGCTACGTGTCATAAACAGAGACAGTCGCGAGAGACTGTGAGGCTAGAGTTCTTCGGGTTTATCACCGTATCCGCAAACAGAAGCGTCTTTGTGCCCCGAGAACAATGCTCCGCCGACTGAGCATTCCGCGAGTTCTCGCCTTTCCTTCTTACCGCCGCCGACATATTCCATCTACCTCTTTCTTTATCTACCTCTCGCTCGAGTCAATTAGGATGATTAGAATAATTAGAGGAATTAGCGGACAAACGTCCTACCTGTACACTTGTAGCAACACTCGTCGTCTCGCGGCTCCAGCAACGCGTAGCAACCTTCGACGTTCGGGCATTGTCGTTTCAAACACTCGACGAATCCGTTCTGAAAAAAGAACCGGGAAAAAATTATTTTTTCCTTACACATATGCGACAAAGTACAATAGAATGAGCCAGAAGTTGCGTTTTTTTTTTTCTCTATTGGCTTTTAATATCTTATTATTAATCGAAGTGCCAACTTCTGAGACACTTTGTAGACGAAGAGAGAAAAATTCCAATGTTGCTTGCAATGTTGCAAAAATAAAGAGGGAAGATTATTCTTCGTTATAAATATGATTTATTATTCGCACTCTTGAAAAGTATAATTCATCGTACTTTGTGTAAAATAGTATTCAAAGATGATGAAGTGATTTGCTGAGATTACCAATCATTTGCGAGATTTCGTCGAGGAAGTAGTTTCGTCACGCTTTTGGCACGAGGAAAAAGCTCGCGAGAGGAATGTGGACACTCTAAATAAAACGCATTATGAATCGGGAATTTGGTCGGTGATTGAGTCACGCGTCACAACAACCGCGACGGCGACAGCGAAATTCCGGCTTGACTTTTTTTTCCAATGTCCGCATTATCGCGTTCCAGTAATTATTTCTCCGGTTTCGTTATCCGGATTCTATAATTAACGGATTTATCATCTGTCAGAATTACGTAAAGTAATTTCAAATGTGGATTGTACTATATCTCTCTCATACATGTGCCGAATGTACGAGATGAGCCTAATTGGACATGCCGCGAAAGAAAATCTTCTGTTTTTCCTCGTTTTTTGTTTTTAGACTCCCTCATCTATAATATATGGATATTTTTACGCAACGCGTTTGAAAATTAATTAGTTTCTGTAATTGATATGCGAATCGAAACAAGCAGGACGTCAAAACAATCGGAGATACGGAGATACTTAGGAAAGATCAGTAAAAAAGAAATCAGTAAAGAAAATATCTTCCGCGACAATTAACAATCCATCTTTTAAAAAAAAAAACATGTTTTTTTTCTAACATTTACATAAACTCGATTTTTGCTTTATTGTTTAATTACTTATATTGTTAGTCACCTTTTTTCTCAGTAATTATACGTTATTAGCACCACACGTATACTAATGTTTTTTTAAATTGCCTCGCATGTTAATTACATATGTAAGCTTCTTTCCTGTTATAATCTAAGAAGAATATAAAAATAAATAAATATATTATTTCATTCTTTTTTATTTAATTTATTAAATAAATAAACAATATAAAAATATTAAAAATATAACAAACGAATTTCTATAAAAGTAACTAAATATTAAAAATATAATGGACGAATTTCGATGGGAGAGTAAATAAATATAAACGCGTCAGAGAGAGCGTATTCTCTTGCTCATAGAGCCAGCGAATATTCGTTCGTCCGGACGACTTATGATTGTGCCTCGTAAATTGCGGATGATTGATCACGGCCGATCACTTCGGCGCAACAAACAAATAATTATGTCACACAGTGTCGGCACGTCACTCGTTGCTGCAATAGCATCGGCAGCAGCGGTAGCAGCGGCGGAGCGAAAACAAGAAGCCTCATCTCGGTCGGCCACGAATCGACGAGTCAATGAACCAAACGCGCAGATAAATCGCCGCGGTCGCGCTAAGATCACTCGTTGATGCAGCAGGGAGATGCATCGAGGCCACGCGGCGGCGCATCATAAGAGGCACACGCGGGAACGAGCGTCCGTACGCGTGTGTATGTGCGCGAATATGCACGAAGTGCGAATCGATCGAATCGTCGAACGCGTCCAAGTGGAAATTCCTCTCTTTGACCTCCCGAACCAGGCCAGGCTACTTTAACCCCTTTAAACACTCCGTCACCACATGGCGTTGCCTCGTCGCGTGATAATAACATAATCTACGAATTAGACTAGGAAAACGGTACACATACTCTCTCTCTCTCTCTTTCTCTCCCGATCTGCCTCGCGATCTTTTTTTCTCTTTACAGAGAAGCGTATCGGATTTAACGAGAGGCGGACTTTTCCGCAATTATCTTGCTAAGTCTCGTCGACGTGATTGTTCGATCAATCGAGTGTACGCGTTTCCCACCGTGCTTCTCCTCTACTGTGTTCACATTCCTCTTTCGTTACGATCTACAGGATATCCAGGCTTAATGTCTGTATTTATATTCATCGAAATTTATATTTTTGAAAATCCAACCGATCTTTTATACAAGTTTTATAAAAGTTTTGCATGCTATTATATTTTACCTTTTTAAAGTCCAGACATTATCGTCATAAGAGTCGTCAGACATATTTTTTATTTATTATAGACTACTATATATTGTAAACTATTTTTTCAAATTTACGATGTTATATATCTCTATTCATCATTAAACAAACTGAAATATTCGTAAAATCGAAAAAAACAAAATTTTCTTTTTTTATTATAGCTTTTGCAGCTTTTCATTAATTTATGTTAAAACTGGTATAATTAAAGGATATAAAATTAATTCAAAATAAACGTTTCAACAATTCAATGAAAAATTTTGTCAATTTACTTAGTGCAAGTTTTCGCATAAATATTTTGAAAATTAAAAAGCGTCTACACGCCACGTCTGAGAAACATAGAAAACTTGAAAACGTTTCTTTTTTCTGATCTCATAAACACATGTATATCCAGCGACTTTCTTACATAAAAAAACAGTTATTAAATATATAAATTTTATTTTAATATAGAAGATGCTTAAGAAGCATCTTACTTATCCGGCTTATAGACTCTAGACTCTTTTCAACTTTATACGATATTCAATGTACTAATTTTGCTTGTGCCCCGTTAGACATCGATTAGTGTCTTCGATTGCACACGATTTACCTTACAAATGCAGCGGAAGCATTTTGTGTTCACAATCTTGACTGTAACGTCTTCTCCCTCAGTGTCGCAGGTCTCTCGGCTTCCTGCAATCGAATAGCAATAGATATAATAAATAGGAACAATCGGATTATATCGCTTTATGACTTTATATCGCGCCGCAATATACCGGGGTATGCGCGATAGAGCACTATATATACAATTACAATGCAGCACATTCCAATCGATTGATCGACTTTTGTATGCTAGAGGCTTCCTCCTTCCTTAATACGAAGAATCGAATGCTCAAGAATTTACTGTTACGTTTTAGATAGCGATCATGCACGATCACGGATGAAAATCGGTTCTATAATAATCGATTTTAATATTTTAATAAGGTTCATTCGTTGCTAAATCAACGCGATATACTGGAATGGAAATTATAAATGGAATTAAGTTTATAATAACTAAATTCGGTAGTTATTTTCATTTCGATACCGAGTATTTTTTTCACAATCTTTTGTCATCGTACTATTATATATAATAAACACAAGTTTACAAATAATATATAAATATTTATAGATAGATTTTTTAAAATTTAAGATTGGAATAATTTTTTTTTTAAATTTTTAACAATGGACTTTGTTTTCCTTTGTTCTCTTTTGCTTTCATCATAAGAGTTAAGCGCGACATGGACGTCGTGAACGTACCTTAGGACGTACCTCAGTCGCGTTAAACTCTCCATTTTCCAGCAAAAGTCGCGTTCTGCTGCTAGGTCGTCGGGAGCCGCCACCAAACGTTCCTCCCGGTTCCTTCACGCACGTATTCCTGCACACTTTAAGCAACTTTTCTGTAAAACTTTTTCTCAGATTTCTCTCTCTCTCTCTCTCTTTTCTATTTACACTTTCCAAGCGTAATCCGCCAAACCATTAAATTTCTAAACATTCGGGTAACGCTCGTTTTCTATTTTCAAATCTCCATTTAAGTGCACGAGAAAGCACGTATTGTTTTGTGTTATTACATTGTTTTTAATTTTACTTTTTTATTATTTCTCCAAAAGGAATATCACACACACACACTTTCTAGGGCAAAAGAGAATATCGCCCTTCTCACTTTTTTTTTATTTTTCCTTTTTATTTGTTCTGTCAGCACGAGTTTGGCGTTTTTCTCCTCGAGAAAGCGCTTGGTCTACTCTGTCACTGCTCTCAGAGATTTAACGCGTGTGACGTACAGCTTTCGAGGCGGCTTCGCTTTATTTATCTCATCGACCTATTTTATATTTCTTCGCAAAAATCGCGAGAGAGAGGAGGAATCGATTGTTCGTTTCGTCGATGGCTTCTCGGACGAACGATTGCACAACTACGAATATTGCCACTTTCTTTAAGAAATGTTTAAAGATTAATATTTTCAACACTAAATATAATTGTTTAATTATGATATTTGTTTTACTTCTAATCCTTCTGTTGAAATAAAAAAATTCCGAAAGTAATTAAAAATATTACATTATCATAACAAAATTTAATATGCATAGTATTCTAATATCATCAAAATATTTCTTCGTGATGTATGCAAGAGATAAATAATAAATTCTCAACTTTTTTATTATTTTTTTAAGATTATTTAAAATACTGAGATTTGATTTTCATATTTTCATATTGAGATTGAAATTCAAAGATTAGCAGATTTATATTTAAAATCGTAAAAATCAAACAAAAACCAATGGAAATTTTATTTATTTTAATCATTCATTATCTTTGAAAATGTATCAAGCATTGATTATTAAAAAATTAATTTTGTAGCGATTGGATAGATAATGATACAACGAGAGCTCGTAAGAAAAAGCAAGTGGCAATAATTAATTAGCGATTATTCGTTTTCAATACGAATCAATACTGATATCATTTAACATATGAATATGTCAATTAATATTCTCATGCGTGTTGCTTTTGTTAACTGCTATTCGAAAAATATCGGCGCATTATTTTAAAGTGCGCAGGAATGTGTGTGCGAGAAAGGACGTTGGTGCATTTGCGGTCGTTTTTCTTTCAAATTTCCTTCTTATTCTCGTTTTTATTTATCGATATATATATATTTTTTTTATTTTGCCTGCGACTTTTTATAAAAATTTGACGCATGTAACAAAACGCGAGACATTTATGCTCATCACAGTAAGTTTCAAATAGTCTCGTAAAACAGCTTTTATCTCTCTTTTCACAATCGTTATCTTCGATCATCTCTCCTCATGTTTTTCCGTTTTCTTTCTCTGGTACTCCTCGAGCTGGTTGCACGGTTAAAAACTCGGAGAGCAGTCAAGAGAGCGCGCAATAAAAGCGGTAACAAACCTCGCGCCATTCATTCATCGAATGTTATGCGTGCAATAAACACGCGTAGATAATTAGAATTTGTATATTCAAAAACATTAACACTTTGTCTATCATAGCGATTGTACACGGGTCGCATCTGCATATTCTTCATGAAATTAGAATGTTCGCTAATTATTCTTATGAAAAATTTTATTTTTTGTTTAATTCATATCTCCATATCCAATTTTCGAGAAAATACAAAAGATATTATTATATAACATGACAATCAAAGCGTTAAGTCGAACATTAAAATTGAGTTTCAATGAACTTAATTGTCTTTAATATATTTACAGTATTAGTAAGAAAATTAGGAGACTTTAATGAAACAAAATAATGGCGTTAATCTTTGTTCGGTGAATATTTGATGATTACAATTTGATAAAATATAAATATTTTGAAAATTATAAATCTTTGAATAACGTTACTTTCAAACACTCTATAATTAAATTAGTTGAATTCAATTCAAATGATCGAATTTTAAAAAAATAATTAACGATAGGCAATTTTTATCAAGGAAAACTATCTTCAAATTCATCTATTATTAGAAGACTTCCAAGCATATATAACACAGTGCTTATAATTAATTTATATTTTAGTAATGTCATGTTTTGCTTGACAATTGATTCTCGCTGCCAACTGCGACACCAGAAAATTTAAGCTGTTAAGGAATGCGATACGTCAATCTATTTTTTGGCACAAAGCTGAAAAAGACGTATTAATCCTAAACTTGGCAACTATAATACTTGAGAAATAAGTTTATAATAAGAAACAGAAAATATATAAAATAAATCAAATCTATAATTATCTGATAATTTAACGATAATAAAAATAAATTTAAATTTTTATATATATTTTTATTCTTATTTAAGCTTTCTTCGTATATCGTTTTCTTCCGTATTCTTCATATGCCGTTTGTGTTTTATACAGTAAATAGAGATTTACAATAATGATAGATTAAAAGATACATAAATATATACGAATTGCACGTATACATATGTAACGATACATAAGCATTTAACATTGCCGTTTTAACGTTTTAACCGCGAACCAAGAACATAGTGCGTTTGATAAACATACAGTGATGTATAATATACTGCCAAGTTTAGAATTAATTATCGGATAAACCGCCGCGAACCTAATCGATCCCGGACGGCGCTAAGATGGGTGCTCTCTGTCCAAGGCGTCAGCGTGGCGCGTATCGGAAGCGTTCGAGGAATCGTACTTTGCTCTCGCGATTTCTGCGAAACGGCAAGTCGGTCGTTGATTAGTCTCGAGTACGGCAATGGGGAATGTACAGCAATTTCCTGAAAGGCACAAGCCCGCCGTCGCGTCCTCGATTACATTCTGCGAGGGTAGGAATCACCTCTGCTCGACAATCTCTGCGATGCAGTCAGCTGCTGTCCGATGCACAATTTTGAAAAAGGATAAGGACGAAGGCAAGATGAAATTTACGTATTCTCGGCCTAAGTGGCTGTTTGGGCCGAACTTGAGATTACGCCCAATGCAATTTCCGATGAAAATTGCACGTGTGCAAAGGGATGAGATTATTGGCGTACACTGGACTTTAACAGACTGATCCTGCGAAATTGAATTTTTTACTCTTAACCAGTTTATTTTTACTTCCTACAATATGCTATAAGTGACCATAAATCGCGCAGGAATAAGTCAATCGTCGACAGGAGACATCGCGACATAAAAAATATACATAAATGACTGCAAATTATTAGGATAATTGCAAAAATTCGATTATCGTCGTGATTACGCAATAAAGTTTCGCGCGATTTTATTCCATGGTTGAAGTTCGATCTTTTTAATTGTCGATTATAAATTCTTCTCTTTATTACGAGTTAAAATATTCAAAGCATTTCATCATGAATATATGAATTTATGAATGAGTGAAACGGAAGTATTAACCCGACACGGCCTATCCTGTTTAGGTCTATGCTGTTTTTAACGCTAGAAAAAATAAAAAAACTTTGTTTTCATTAGAAATAGGCTTTTTCATTAGAAATAATAATTAAAAAATTAAATAACACTTTATCTTTATAGTAACCATTGTCGATTTTAATGTATTTGATATTTCTTAATAGAAATGCTTTGGAAATACAACTTTGCAATGTTAAATATTTTTTCTAAGAAACCAAAATATATATCTCTTTTTTTTGTGTATGAATTTCTCATGTTACGTTTTTCAGACAGAATAGTTTCCGCAAAGTCAAGATAAATGCTAAAGTGCACACATAAAATCTTTAAAAATACGATTGTAAAAAATAATAAAAACTCGACACGCGCTTTAAAAAGAATTTGTCTGATTGAATTTTTCTTAATGAGGATGTGTAGCGAGACAGCAATGATTTCGCATGAGCTGCGAGAGATTCGCGATTCGATTTTGGCGCAAATAGAACGGCAGATTATGGAGATAGACTAAGAATAGAATATTTAAAAGGGGTAAATGGAACGCGAGACGGGCCTGCGCACACTATATAGATAACAAATTTGCTGAAATCGGGAATTCAATTGCTTCTGCAATAATATTCGTGCACTACTTTTGATAACATGAACATTCTCACACATTCGATATCATATCATGTAAGTATCAACTGTTACGAAATGCGAATAAACGCAAGATGAGGGTGCTTTTACGTTTTTAATGCGTTCTAATTCGATGTTTTTGCCATTGATTTATATCGTTCACATTTTATGTAAAGAATAATTGAAAAATTTGTAACACTAGCAAGAGAAAATGTAATATCCTTTTTCTTAACTATCTTGAAAAATTGAGAGATTATAAATAAAAAAATTTAATATAAAAAAAAAATGAAAAATTTAAGTGATGTTGCAGACGCGTATCGACGAATTTGTTTTAATCTTCAGCATATTTTGAGAAAGAAATTTATGGTAACATTGTTAGTTTTTTTGCAATTAATCAATAATTAATTTATTCATATTTACTCATATGACTTGATCGAAGAAGACTTGGAAAAATATTATTTTAAACTCAAACATTAATTGGATTATTATGCAAATTTTTAAAATATTGAATACATTAATATTGAACAATCGAACATTTAGTATAATTATTTTAGAGAAGAAAAAAATACGAGCACTTTTTTTTCTTTTAATTTAAAATACTTAAATATTCTAATTTAAATGTGTATTTTTACAAATTTATAGATATTTAAAGAATCTTATAATAGAAAAGAAAAAGAAATAAAAAATAAAGATAAGAACGATACTTTTTTCGAATTTCTTTTTCATCTGGATCTAAAGCAATAAACTTTTCTCAAAGAACAAGCGCAATAATATTATTTTATATTATTTTATAATTTCGGATGTTCATGTTCTTGTTGATATCCGAATGCATTCGAACGACATCGATCGAGTTTCGATGTTGGCACATCTTCTCTAAGCCTGATCAGTAGTCAGCTATCAAAATAACACGCTTATAATCGGTACGTCGCGCACGTGCTTCTCCGTGCTCTTGTAGTACTCACCTATTATACTTTCCGAGGTGGCGTCGCAAAGACGCGCCACCGAGAGGAGGAAGGCCAGGGCCAAAGCCAAAGTCAGCGGTATCGAAAGTAACCGTGTCAACTCCATGTTTAGATGCATCTGATCTCTGCCGCAATAATTTGCTGAAAGAACCGATAAGATTGTGTCGTTAGTCACGTGCTTCCGAGATGTTGTTTGTCAATGTACATCGTAGAGTCTTAAATACAGATTTATACTTTCATTCAGAAAAAAGTTTTTCTTTATATTTTTCTTCAGAAAAAAATATGCGCGAGTCTAAATATTTATTTATATAATAAAAATAATTTGTAATCCATCGTATAATTTTTAAAGGTGAATATTATAATGAATCTTATTAGTTGCAAGATTGTAAAAACTCGTATGTTGTTTCGATTTATTTAAATCCAAGTTTTTTCGAAATAATTTCTAGGAGCAAATATTAATTTTAAAGATTAAGCATTCTACATATCAAGAAATGTAGAGAGAATTTTATAGTAAATTTAAAAATACCATTTAACGTATCGTCTACCATTAGCATTAATACATAATAGTCTGCTGTACTTCCGCGGTTTTCACATTGCTTAGATACATAAATTTTCACCGCGTCGCAATGTAAAATACACGCAATATATGTATTTAACCTTTCCTTGAGATCATGCGACTATTTTTAAAACCGCAATTGTTTAATCACTCTTTTCTTTCAAAAATCAGAGAAAGAAGTTAATCAACGAAATGCTGCGTAACGTAATATGTATAATTATCGAAAAAACATCGGCGCTCTCGATGCATTATTCAACTCATTAGGTGCATAATCTTCAAATGCATCGGGATGAGAACCTAACAAGCCTCGTTGGCGCGTTTGATCAATGGGAACTCTCGCATTTTCGCAAGCGTTTCGCGTTCTATCGATTCTCACGGCCAATTGCCGGAGGCAAATCTATCCTTAATCGATTACGAGGTCGATATTTATGCAGGTCGTATCTTTTGTATGCAACGCGAGCGTCTCGTTACACCCACGACGAAATGTCTCTACGCCGATAAGGTGACTCGACAAATCTATTAATACGCGTACACGCGTGCATGTATCGCTACTTGCCAAGAAGGCGACATATCGATAGATGTAAAAAAAAAGGAATATTATACAGCCAACCGGCAGGACCGAGAATCGAGAATTTATGAGCCGATTCTCTCTCGATCAAGTCGATCACTCCGATGAATATTCTCGCAACGAGTTGCACCGCGCGAACCTGCATATAGATTGCGTCAAGTGCGCGAAGATAAGTATATTAATCACGCTCAGTTTTAGTTACTCGAGACGTTTATTTCGAAAGTCGTCTAGGTCGGCTGAGATATTTGAATCGCTATGCAACGCTACGTCGGTGTTTTCATCGCGCTTTTATACGATATGGTAATAAATGGCTGGTTAATGCTTGGAAAATGGATGTATTAATTATACGCTCCTCGTCTTTCGACTATATTTCCACAAAATTTACTTCGAATCTGTATTTCATTATATATGTTGCTTGTCACAAAAAGACTTTATACACTTTATTCGTAGATTTTATCAGTCTATTTATAGTATTTCTGCTGAATTGTTGAGGTTACTCGACTCTCTCTTTCTCCTTGTAAGTGGCAGAAACGATGATTAATTTTGAGAAATATTATCGGCCAAATGTTCATACCTTTCTCGATACGAAAGGAAGTTGTGCTTTACTGTGCATAATGAGGCGCATAATGACGCGTCGACATGAAATCGTTTGCAATCGCGCGAATTGTTTACACGGGCGAAGACGCGAATAAATAACGCTCGCGCGACGCTTGTTTGCGAAAGGCGGCGAGGGAAGAGAGCGTGCTCTCCACGTACTACGTAGTAGGCTGTTTACACACAGACTCGCAATTCTAATCCAAATCGCAGATGCCGACAATGTAATTGGACTGTTAACATCGCGCGCGATTGCACAGGTTAATTTGTAGCATGATTTCCTCGAAGTAATAAGCAGATACCGTAACTGTATAAATCCACTAGAGCGAGATATCACATCCGGACATCACATTCGAATAAATCTAACTTCAAAATGTTATTTGAATCTTTTCGAAGTTTATAAATATCAGCTGATTTCTGTATATATTACTCATTTCAATATATGCTATTTTATCAATTTTTATAGATTGCATGTTAAAAAGCATGTTAAAAATATAATAGATCAAAATATATTGAAAAATTTACATGGCTAATATTATCTATCAAGAATGATCTTTTCGATAATTGTGTGCTTTGTATGTATTGTTGGTATTATCAGAAATTACAAAGTAATTTTCGTAATTTACGTTATACAAACTCGCGAAAGATGTAAGTCTCCTAGGGAGATGATACGAACAGATTGAATTACATGGGTACACGTAGCAGCAAAATTGTGGGAAAATTGTGGGAGGATAGTAATTACCGAAATTACTATCACAATAGACACTAAATTAATAATCACGAGAGCTATTATCAAATCTACGAAAAGAGTGAATACGCATAAATTAACGAATAGAAGAAAATTAGATTTTTACGAGAGAATAATTTCCTGCCAAAAGAAATTTAATTTCAACTTAAATTAGATACTCAAATTATATATAATTAGATATTCAAATAGATATATACTTGTACTTTCAAACGCTATACGTCATGTAGTAGAACAAAGAGAGAAATAAACAGAATTAATAATAAAAAAATTATAATGTTGTTAGAAATAATTTGATTCTTTTTTTTTCGCATTTATACCGATACTCTTACCAGTTAATACGACAAAGGTGCAAAATGGACGAGTATTTTAGCACGTATCTTTTTGAGTATTTTGCGCGATTATTCTACGCATACGAGCAAGCAAGCAGACAGACAGACAGTCGTAAAACATCGGCGTGGAAAATTTTCTCGGTGCACACGCACACCGACGTGTGTATGAAAGTATATCAAATTCACGAGCGGAGCGGAGTCTTAAGTGGAACAGCTCTATTATGGGGCGTGATTAATAAATATTCGCACGTCTCACATACGTATACGCGCAGGTAGAGGCCGGGGTCCACCTGATCTGCCAGCTGTGCGAGCAGCAGTGCGTCGACAAATCACGCCGCCGCTTGTCATTGATGTATTTAACGGCGACAATGTTGAGCAACGTTTAATCAGAGACAAGAAGAGAGAGAGAAAGAGTGTATGTTCACATATACTATTTTAAGCGTTTATTCAGGAAGGAAATGCGCTCGGCGTGACGGCGCTTGCTCGTACATACAGCCGCGGCTTGTACTCGCATACGCACGAGTGTAATTACGCATATTTAAATAGAAATTATGACTCATTGCCGTTGCACGTCTCGAGTGTCTTTTTTATCCTCGTCGATCTCTCTTGGCTCCCTTAAAAATATTTTCTCGATACGATTTGTATCTCTCGACATTATTCCACGCGCTGTCGAATATGACATATGTCAATAGGCACAGATTTGTTATTGAATCGTAATAATAGAAATTATATAGAGCAAAGATAGTCTCGCCTATAATTTCCTTAGATTTTTCGTGAATAATTATTTTAAAATAATTTATATCGTCAATAATTTCAAATAATTGATTGTGAATCTTCTTCATCATATATTTTTTCTTCAGTTTTTTATTTTTATATTTGTTTATTTTCTTTTTTTATCAAAATTACCATGTGTGTTCTGAACTAAAATATAATATTTATTGCTTTCAGGAAGATAAAGTTTCAGTTCTTTGTAAAATTTTACTCCGAAAAGGAGGCAATATATTATGGCCGTAAATTTTCGCTGTCGTCCTCTTTGTGCTATTATATTTAACTATTAAGTCATTACCATTTTCACGCAGCGCTGTTATTACTATATATCTACTATCCCTCCTCTCCGCTACCAGCATTTTCTGGCGATCGTTCTCGTTTTGCTTCGGACTTTAATTAAGGATTCCGTGATGACGCGAGCTCCGGACTCCAGCTGCTTCGAATACGTTTTTTCTGAGCGCATCGCTAATTCGCCGACTAAGCGTTCCGATCGAATCTCGACAAGCAGCGAATAAACTCGTAACAAGCGGCGCCCCAAAGGGAAATTCTAGACTCGTTGCACCGTAGTTGCGCTAAATTAGATCGTAAGCACCGTAGGAATCCAAAGAGGCGTCTGCTAGTAGACTCTAACAGCTAATGGCGACAATATTATTATTTTGATAGTTAAAATTAAACTTTTCGATATAATTTAGAATTGACATCACATGATAATATATAAAACGATATAAATTCCGCTGTTTTATTCAACCACTGATGCGATTTTTCCTCTTCACACATATACATATGTTGTTTTATAAATTTTAAAAGCTATATTGCTTTCAATTTTCCAGACTAATTAATTTCTGACGAATATTAGTTTTTAACGATTCTTCGAGGCATAAATACCGCGGTAAAAGTATCGATACTTTTTTTTTTTAAACGATCGTCCTCCACGATGCGCCGATACACGACGGCGACTAAATTATCCATTCGTCATGGTATGCGCCCCGTTATTGGCCAGCCGGACTTGCGCGTGAGTAGACAAAATGTCAAGATTTGATTTACGAGGCGGCCCGGTGCGCCAACTCTCGGGGAAATTAAGCGGAGCAGCGCTCGATTAGCCTGGTTCATCCGCCCGGCAGCTTCGCTGCCGCTGAATTATCTTCGACTCGAAACGTCTGTGTATAATCATCCATTAACGAGATAACGTAAAGTTCATACAGTGAATGCATATTTGAATATCGGTGAACGCGACGATATTACGCGACATGCGGAACGCAAATGGCAGGTTTCCTCGACCCGCGCCATTTCGAATTTGATGTCGCGTATAATCAATGCGAATTAAAAGCTCGGCCAAAGCTAATGAGTAACGGTATACGACACGTATTGCCGATTGTATGCAATGATTATGGCCCGTGTGGCGAAACGATGCTACCGGCGCAGTGTAAAAGTTGGCGCTTTCAGAAACATCCACTTTCGTTTTTTTTTCTTTTTAATCAACTGATTGACATAACGCTACACGTGTTTTATAATAAATTTACTCGTGATAATTAACGGCGCGATAATTGAAAGCCGGATATTCTTCTGACGCAATGCGAC